GTTGTTTTCCCAGGTAAAGTTAGTCATAATTTTCTAGTCTGACATCACCAGAAGTAGGATGGACAAAAAGAAAAAACTTGCTAGATTATGAGCTTCTCCTCAAATAAGATGCCTGTATTCTAAATTTTCTACCTTCAGTGCCTGGCATATTACTATTATTCAATGAATCAATAGTGTGAAGGATAATTCTAAGCAAGTAAAGGAAAGAAAAAGAAGGCAGTATTACAAATGATAACAGAAAACATACAGTTGGCCCTTCCTGTTTACGGGCTCCATACTCACAGATTAAACCAACCACATTATCAAATATATGCAGAAAAATAACAAAATAAAAAACAAATAAAAAATACAGTATAGCAACTATTTTATAACATTTACATTGCATTAGGTATAAAAAATTGAGATTATTTAAAGTATACAAGAGCATATATAGGTTATATGCAAATGCTGTGCCATTTTATGTAAAGGACTTGAGTATCTATGGATTTTCACATTCTTAGGAGATGCTGAAACCATTCCCCTATGGATACTGAGGACAATTGTATTTTCAAATCTCAGAAGCCTCTTTCAGTCTGTCTCTTATCTGATGTTATCTCTACCACTACCTTGACTAAGGGCTCAGAATCACTCACCCAGTCTACAGTCATGTGGCATGTGATAACATTTTGTCAAGGACAAACAGGCATGTATGATGGTGGTCCATTAAGATTATAATGGAGCTGAAAACCTCCCATCATCTAGTGATGTCTTGATGATCCTAACCTTATGTAGGCCAAGGCTAATGTGTGTATTTATGTCTTAGTTTTTAACAAAAAAGTTTAAAAAGCTAAAGAAAAATCTTTAAATAGATAAAAGCTTATATAACAAGGACATAAAGAAAATATTTTTGTACAGCTATATAATGCATTTGTATTTAAGCTAAATGTTATTACATAAGAGTCAAAAAGTTAAAAACATTAAATGTTACTTGGAGACTTTCTGTTTTAAAAAAAAAAAAAAAACATTAAATGTTTATAAAGTTAAAAAGTTAGAGTAAGCTAAGGTTAATTTATTATTGAAGAAAGAGGCTGTGCATAGTGGCTCACATCTGTAATCTCAGCACTTTGGGAGGCCTACATGGGAGGACCACTTGAATCTAGGAGTTTGAGACCAGCCTGGGCAACAGAGCGACACTCCGTCTCTACAAAAAAATAACATTAACAACAAAAAAAATTAGCCAGTCGTGATGGCACGTGCCTATAGTCCTAGCTACTTGGGAGGGTGAGGTGAGAGGATCTCTTGAGCCCAGGACGCAAGGTTATAGTGAGCTATGATTGCACCACTGCTCTCCAGTCTGGGCAACAGAGCAAGACCCTGTCTCTAAACAAATTTTTAATTAAGAAAAAAATTTTTTATAAAGTCAGTGTAACCTAAGTATACAGTGTTTATAAAGTCAATAGTAGTGTACAGTAATGTACTAAACCTTCACAATCATTCAGCACTCACTCGCTGACTTACCCAGAACAACTTTCAATCCTGTAAGCTCCATCATAGTATATGTTCTATACAGGTGTATCATTTTTTTTTCCTGAGACAGGGTCTCATTCTGTCACCAAGGCTAGAATGTAGTAGAGTCATCATAGCTCACTACAACCTCAAACTCCTGGGCTCAAGTGATCCTCCTGTCTCAGCCTCTCTAGTAGCTGGGACCACAGGCACATACCACCACGTCTGGCTAATTTTTCTATTTTTTGTTGAGATGTGGTCTCACTCTTACCCAGGCTGGTCTCAAACTCCCGGTCTCAAGCGATCCTCTTGCCTCAGCCTCCCAGAGTGCTAGGATTACAGGCATGAGCCACTACACCAGGCCCATTTTTTATCCTTTATACCATATCTATACTGTACCTTTTCTATGTATAGATACATTTAGATACACAAATACTTAACATTGTGTTACAATTGCCCACCATTTTCAGTAGAATAACATGGTATGCTGTCCATGTTTGTAGACTAGGAGACTAAGTGTGTAGTAGGCTACATCTAGGTTTGTGTAGGTACATTCTAAGATGTTCCCACAACAAAGAAATCACCTAACAACACACTTCTTAGAACATATCCCCCATTGCTAAGTGACACACAACTATACTTCGACTGGTTCAGACTATCTCCTTCCCTCCAGTTCACTGCTCTTCAATTCATGTTCTACAATTCCAATTCAAGCCCCCTGCTAAATATATTTCAAATAGTTCCTCATTCCCTAAAAGAAAATTCTAATTTTCGCTGCATGACATACATGGTCCCATTTTGGAATATAATGTTACCTTGCCTAAAATATCTTTTCCCCATTGACAATCCTGTAAGCTCCAACTCAATATTCAAAACTATATTCCAGAATCACCCCTAGGAAATCTTTGCAGACTTCCAGGTAGTTCTAATCAACTTCATCCTTTGTGTAAGTACTTTACCTTATATTTGATCATCGCACTTCTCATCCTGCATGGCAATATAATTATCCCTCTCCCAATCCTATGTACCAGCTATGTACTTCTTCTAGACAAAATTTAGAACTGAAAAAATAACAATATTCAAGATTTTCCCCACAAATGCATCTTTGATGCTTTATTTTTATCTTCTTTTTTCTTAATTGATTTTGTATTCAACTGAATTTAACAAATAATCACTGGGTACCCATCTCTTATCAGGTAAATTTCATATTTAAACTATCGTAAATTTCTTATTCCCAGCAAATCCCTTTTAAGTGGAAAAGTTAGGGGAGGGAAAGAAATGGAAAATAATATAGATAGGATGGTAAAGAGGCATAAGGTCTCTAAACTTTACATAAATTATATCAAAGACATACCCATAAGATCACAGAATATGGAAGAGAATATTAAGACTTGAGAGCAAAAAAAGTTAAAGCTTAGAATATAAGTCTTCTGATACATAATTCAACCACATTGCTCAAACTATGACATTCAGAAAGTAGCAAGTAAATGAGGAATGCCCACCCTCTAGAAGTTTTGAGGACCTTTTCCATAAACTGCAGGAGTTTATTTTTATATAACACATTTATGGCCAAAGCATTTCTTCCCCATATAATCTAGACTTCTTGAAAAGGTAAGAATAATTTCAATTCATAATAAGAGAACACCTTTCTTCTTCAAAAGCAATTTAAGCCATCTTCTGTTTAACGGTCCATAGAGCAATTGATACTTTGTTCTGTAAAACGGAGAACACACTCAACAAAAGGCATTCCCTCACCCCTCCAATACATATATTTATTTACAAGAGATAAAATATATTAATTTAGTATGTTAAGAGCCCTAGTGTGAATCAAGAGACCGAGATAGTAATCCCTTCTTAGTTCTTATTTAAAAGCAAAAATTACAGAGCCAAGTGTTAAGGTTTGAATACTAGCTTTAGGTATCACCTGTAAAACTAGAATAAAAACAGGACTGTCTTACAAGTAACACTATGTAAGTGTTAGCTGATATTATAATAAATAATATTATCTGGCTGGGCACGGTGGCTCACACCTGTAATCCTAGCACTCTGGCAGGCCAAGGCAGGTGGATCACTCAAAGTAAGGAGTTCAAAACCAGCCTAAGCAAGAGCGAGACCCCATCTCTACCATAAATAGAAAGAAATTAATTGGCCAACTAAAAATATATAGAAAAAATTAGCCGGGCATGGTGGAACATGCCTGTAGTCCCAGCTACTCAGGAGGCTGAGACAGAAGGATTGCTTGAGCCCGGGAGTTTGAGGTTGCTGTGAGCTAGGCTAACAACACAGCCCTCTAGCCAGGGCAACAGAGTGAGACTCTGTCTCAAAAAATAATAATATTATTATATTATAATAATAATATAATAATAATATTATCTTTTAACAGTTCTAGTGTAACGTCTAGCTAAAAGGTTATGTGTTTCAAATTGTCAGCATTCATCAAGGTGGCCAGAAATAGTACTGTGGCCAGAAATAGTACTACTGTTAACTATCCGTTATACCTTTTAAGCAAAAAAAGCCATTATGCCTTTTATGCTTAAAGCTAAGACAGAGCGCAACAAGCTCGAATGATGAGGGGCTTGGTGATAGAAAGATCTTTTCTCCCCACCCCCCCTTATTTTATAGACCTGCTAGCTGTTGTGGTTGTTCTGTTCATTCTCCATTCCTCATCATTTGCCTTCAGTTCAGTGTGATAAACCCTGTGTCTGCCTATGTTCTCATACATAAACTGAAATTCTGGGTTATAATCTCAACCTGGTACTGATTTCAAACTCAGTTTAGAGGAAAGGCCCACATTTTCTTTCACCTTCCTTTACCCTAATAATTCTCACGGAAACTGAAAGTTTACTCTTTTTATATGAACTCAATCTTGAGATTCTCAAGACAAAATACTTAGTTACCCACTTGGTCTCCCCACATTATCCTGTTTCTTTGTATCCAAACTCTGTGTTGACTCAAGAGTCTATTAATAAGCTCCACTATCCCATCCTAGAACTAAGAAATCAAAGCAATCAAACAAGCATACAGTTAGTCCTCCATATCCACAAGGGAATGGTTCTAGGATTTCCTGCAAATATCAAATCCACATATGTTCAAGTCCCTTACACAAAATGTCTTATTACAGTCAGTCCTCTGTATCCACTGGTTTGTATCTGCTGTTAATTTCAACTGGATTTGAAACCTGAATACACTGGAAGGCCAACTGTATTTAACATTACACAAAATGGCCAAATCCATAGTAACAATTAAAAATCACACCACCAACAAAAATCCAAAACAAACCTATGGATCTCTTCATTCAAAGATGCACTCAAATAAGCACATGTTAGCAAATCTAGATGGGGACTATAAAACCCTATATGACATGGCTCAAAAACTAAGCCCTGATTTGTCATCTGCTTATAATGATATGTGGACCACAATATCTACATTGAAACATAAGATTTTAAATGCTTATCATAAATATGACTCAAAAATCTATTGGAGGGGGTTAAGCATACACATAGTTAGGTACTCACTTGCTCCAATTTAAAGATATGCTGATTAAAGTAGTGTTGTAAACGTTCATTAGCAAAATTGATACAAAACTGTTCAAAGCTGTTATTTTCATAATCTTCAAACCCAAAAATATCAAGAACACCAATGGACAAAGTCTGTAAAACAAGAGAAAACACTGGTTAAAAAATGATGCTCAAATTTATATAATGAATAATATCCACAATATAAGTAACAAAATGCTCAAGTCCTCTGTAGCAGTGGAAAGGGGATTGTTGTGGGCCAGTGTTCAACCAAAATATACCATGAATTAAAAGTATTTTAGTTCTCTTTATCTTCATCTTTCTATTTTAATCCTAATTATTATAAAAATACATCTAAGGCCAAGCATGGTGGTCCACGCCTATAATCCCAGCACTTTGGGAGGCCAAGGTGTGAGGATCATTTGAGGCCAGGAGTTCAAGACCTAGGGAATATAGCAAGATCCTGTCCCTACCAAACAAAAATCCAAATTTTCAACACATATAAACAATAGATTACTTTACAAAAACATACACAGCAAGGTTAGTGGCCTATTATCTTTATTTTAAAAATCCATTAACTCCAAGAAATCTCTAAACTCAGAAATCCTATACTCCAAGAAGGAATGGAAGTAACAGGTTATGAGGAAATCAAAAGTTTACTTAAGTGAGGGATCAAAGAGCTGAGTTACTCCTGGCTATGCCAAGAAGACCATGTAATGTTTCCTATTTTGACTTCTATATCTCAATAAATGAAATTCTGCTTTAAGAACAAAACTAACAGGTCTATTTAATCAGCTGCATGCAGAGTAGAAATGAAACTAGATATCAGAACATATGCTTCCTTAAAGTACAAAAATTTTATAAAGAAAGGTACAAGGTAAAATGTTGAACAGTACTAAATATTACCACGAAAAACAGCAATTCCTTTCTTATCATCAATATCTGCTCCCTAAAGTCAACATCATTCAAATCTTTTAGCTGTCTGGTAGAATAGACAACATTAACTGTATTCTATTTCTTAATATTTTACTTCTAGAAATTATCTTTCTACTTTCTTACTATGGATGACAGAGATTTGACTCTAAAACCTGCATAAACTATTCTCACCACCCTGACCCCATTCTTGAAATACAGTTGTATGACAATTTTGGTTGAATAAAAACAACTTTTTTCTATTGGTGCTAAGAGACATACTGGGCAAACTGATGTAATAAGTGGTAAGTAGTAAGATTTTTTTTTTAAATCTGTACTAAGAGTATTTTAATTAATTTTGATTGAGTCTAGGTCCTTAAGAAGAAAAATGAATAATGTCCTTCAAAAATAAGTCAATTTGATAAATTAGATTATAATTTAAATTAATTTTTATAACTATAGGTTTATTTGAAGTATGAAAAATTACTATAAGAGCAAGTTTACATTTAAGACAGTAGGATTAAATAATAAAGATGACATTTCTAATCAGTTTGACAAGAAAGACTATTTCATAAAGGTTGTTAAAAAAATAAAACTGGATTTGAAATGATTAAGCTAAATACCTATAATTTGCCGTATTAAAAATAAATTCTAACTGGAAAAAAGCTTAAACATAAAAAACCTTCATTTTAAAAGTATGAGAATAAGTATTTTGTAATCTTGGGCTAGAAGAGGTCTTCCTATGTAAGTAAAATAAATACATAAAACTCAAGACTAAAAAGGAAAAGAATGACAGAATTAACCAAAAAAAAATTAACAACATAAGGACACAAAAATAGACAGTACAAATAAATCTTGAAATTCCAGTAACTAAGAGAGAAAATACTTGCAATATATATCAAACTATAAGTCTCTACAATATCTAAAATAAATAGCTTCTAAAAGGGAGTAACAAAAAGACAAAATAAAAATAATGCAAAGATATAATATGGAGAAGAAATAAAATAGAGAAAATATGAGTATACTCTTAACTTTCATTCAACATTGAAAAGATACAATAAAAGAAGAGAACTTCCTTCATCAGATTAGGATACGTAAATACTGATAATATCCTTGAACACCATAGTTTTAGGCAAAAAAAAAAAAAAAATACTGATAATATCCAATGTTAGTAAAGGTGTAGGCTAAAAGGCACTTTCATATATTGCTAGCAGAAATGTACAGTCTTTTTTGGGAAGCAATATAGCTGTAGCTACCAAATTTTTTTAATATATATTATATATATCCTTAAATCTAGCAATTCCACTTTGAGGATTTTATCCTAGAGAAATATTTGTAAAAGAATATTTGCTACAGCATTGTTTATAATGATAAAAATATTTTAATAGATAGGTTTATGGTACACATCATACTATATATTATACAATTATTAAAAAATAACAAGGTCCAGATATATAATGATATAGAAGATATTTCAAGAGATCCTAGGGTAAAAAATAAAGTTTAAAACAATAGAGATTACATAATTCTATTTATACTTTTAAAAGCAACTCTCAAAATATACATCTTCAGAAGGTAAATAAATACGTAGGATAAAAGGTCTGGAAAGACAAAACAGTTCCTATGAATAGAGAAATAAATAACAAAAGTAAAAGTGATTCTTACTTATTACTCTACATCATTTTGTTTTTAAATTTCATGTATTAACTAGCTTATTAAAACAGTTTTCAAGGAAAATTACATTATAATCCAATGTATCATTACCTTGGTATCATGCTCTAAATCTTTACTATTCAAAAGTGCATGATTAATTCGAAAAACTATCCAGTCAAACAGGGCACTATATAGAGACTTAGCCATGGAGTTCCTCACTGTTACAGCCTGAAAAACAAGAAAGGCATTAGGAGTATATGTGGAATTGACAATGATATGATTGAGATACTATAACAAAGTGTGTCTTGCTCTCACTCAAGAAAGAAAACTTAGTATCCTGAATTAGAAACTAATTTTTCTATCAATATAAATAGCCTATAATTGAGGTTTTCTACAGGTACTCAGTAATTTAGTCCAACTCAGGCAATCTAGGCTAAAACTGCCATGAAAGATAAGAGAAACAAAATATAGGTCACTTCAAAACACTTTTACTAAAGATTGAGGCATATATTTCCCCGAAGAAAGAAGGTATAATTAGAAGTTTACAAACAAATGACCTTGCCAGCTAAAGTGGGGAAGAGTATTCTAGGTAGAGGAATAAATCTGTTAGCAAAAAAGCATTAGTATTTGTGGAATCCTAATCACATTCTTAAAACATACATATAGTACAAGCACCGTTACATTCCTAGTTGTCATCAGCTTGTCATCCTCCGTAGCCTCTAGAATTATTCCATCCCCAGACAAAGTAAGAATTCCTTCATTATGGAGTTACAAAATTTATTTTGTGCCTCGCTTCAAGCTTTCTCCATTTTATGGTAATTCTCTGTACTATCTGCTCAAATTTTTCTGTTAAGTCTGAAATTGTTCTATAAAAATAAAGTTTATTAATTAAAGAAATTCACCATTTGTAAAGCACTTCAATTTACAAAAAAAAAAAGTTATGTATCTTAAATTGAGTACTAATACTTAGAAGAATACAACTCCTAAAAATTTACATATTAATTATGTAGGGGTTTTTTTGGAACTTGTATATTCAGGTACATATTTATATCCCTCTTCTGAAGTGGAGGAAATAGAGAGTAATGATTAGGAGATAGACCACCTTCTGTTCCCAGTTTTTCTACTTATTCTGTGTAACCATGATCAAATTAAACCTAGGCTAAAGCTTACACATCTGTAAACTGGATAAAATACAATGACCTACTACATATGTGATAAATTAATTTCTGAATATCAAGGAAAAAAATAAAAGCTTCAAGTTTCTAGACCAAAATATAAATGCCTACATAGGAAAGAGAAGACTGGTATCAAATCCTCTCTCTTCAACATTAGAAGCCTGAAAATAACTAGAAGATGTTTATAGAGTTCTGAGAAAAAAAGGAATGTGACTCTAAAATTCTACTCCTGAGCAAGTTAACAAAGTACAATCATACCTCAGTATCTGGGGAAGTGGGGGGGATTGGTTCCAGGACCCACCCAGGATAGCAAAATCCAAGGATGCTCAAGTCCCTTATATTAAATGGCACAGTGTTTCCATATAACTTATGCACATCCTCTGTACACTTAAAACCATCTCTAGATTACTTACAATACCTAATACAATGTAAATGCTATGTAAATAGTTGTTATACTATACTCTTATTAGTATTATATTTTATGTTATATTGTTATTTTTTATTGATTTCCCCCTGAATATTTTCAATTTCCAAGTGGTTGAATCCTCAGATGTGGAACCCTCAGATACAGAGGACCAACTATCCAGAAAACTAATAGCAGATCGGTATATGTAGTAGAATAGCATTCTACTTTTCCCAAGAAGGAAAAAAAAGGAGGAGGACAATCTGATCAAACTCAACAAAAGTAAAATATTTTAAAACTAAATAAATAAGCATAAAACAGAATAAACATTAAAAAAACTTTATTGTGGCCGGGCACAGTGGCTCACACATGTAATCCTAGCATTCTGGGGGACCAAGGAGGGAGGATTGCTTGAACTCAGGAGTTCGAGACCGGCCTGAGTAAGAGCGAGATACATGATCTATCACAATAAAGTTTTTTTTCTTTTCTTCTTTTTTGGAGACAGAGTCTTGCTCTGTCAGTCTAGGTAGAGTGCAGTGGCATTACTGTAGCTTAATACAACCTCAAACTCCTGGTCTTGAGCAATCTTTTTGCCTCAGCCTCCGGAGTAGCTCGGACTAGAGGCACATACCAGGACACCTGGCTAATTTTCCTATTTTTAATAGAGACTAGGTCTCACTCTTACTCAGTCTGGTCTTGAACTCCTGAGCTCAAGCAATCCTCCCACCTCAGCCTCCCAGAATGCTAGGAATATAAGCATGAGCCACTGTACCTGGCTACCATAAAGTTTTTACATGGATTGAATTTTTCAGTTCAAAGACAGACCTTCAGATTAAGATAAAAATTAAAGCCTATTTACAGTATTTATGGTTTATATGATGCACCATTTATAAAATACCATAACAATATTATATCCAGATATACCAATATAATACCTTTTTACTGCATAACTCCCAATTTTATGCTCTCAACTCTTTTCTCTGAAAGGCAGTCCTGCCTATGATAGCTTAATTTCAATAAGACCAAATACCACGTAATATTTTCACATCCAAACAAGATCTCATTTAGTGTTTGCTAGCTAATTGAAGGGTACCAATATTCTTACAGTTGTGTAAACCAGACTTAGGACTCATCCTTGACATCTATTTCTTCCTTGCCTCTAATTATTCAAGTCAATTACTAAGTCCTGTTGATTTAATCTCTAATTTTCTTTTTAAATGCATACATTTTTCCCTTTTAGTATGTTACCATTCTAGACAAAGCAAATATTTTTCTCCTTACTACTACAGACTCTGAACTCATCTCTCTGCATCCAGTCTTGCCTTCTGTGTTACGCACATCCTAAAATGTCCCCAAGATTCTTATCCCCTGGGGTACATGTTCTATATAATCTCTTCCCCTTAAATGTAAGCAGAAGTATAAATACAACAGATTTCACTCCCATAATTAGCTTTTGTTATATGATAAAGGTGAAGGGATTTAAAAAATTTGAGGGGTCATATCAGGTGATTTTTTGAGCCTAACTAAAAATTATTAATAAAAACACAGTAATTCTCAATTTCTGCTTTGCAAAGAGAAAATAACCTTTAAAATAATATTTACAAATTTGATTGTGTAGTTTATGGATTACCCAAGGCTTTTCTTCTAAATTTTGTTTTTGTATTTGGCATCAGGTTTTCTTTTATTTTTTTTATTTCAGCATATTATGGGGGTACAAATTGTTTAGGTTACGTGTGTTGCCTTTCCTCCCCTTCCCCCCCACTCCGGAGTGAGAGCATCAAGCATGTCCATCCCCAAGATGGTGCACATCACACTCAGTATGTATGCATACACCCGCTCTCTTCCCCCTCCCATCAGCCCAATGCCCAATAAATGTTATTCATATATTTCCACTTAGGTGTTGATCAGTTAATACCAATTTACTGATGAGTACGTGTGGTGCCTATTTTTCCATTCTTGGGATACTTAACTTAGTAGAATGGGTTCCAGCTCTATCCAGGCAAATATAAGAGGTGCTATATCACCATACATATACCACATTTTATTAATCCACTCATGTATTAATTAATGGGCACTTGGGTTGTTTCCACGTCTTTGCAATTGTGAATTGTGCTGCTATAAACATTCCAGTGAAAATGTCTTTTTTATAGAGTGTCTTCTGTTCTTTGGGGTAGATGCCCAGTAATGGGATTGCTATATCAAATGGTAGATCTACTTGTATTGCTTTGAGGTATCTCCATATTGCTTTCCACAGAGGTTGCACTAGTTTGCAGTCCCACCAGCAGTAGATAAGTGTTCCTATCTCTCTGCATCCACGCCAACATTTATTGTTTTGGGACTTTTTGATAAAGGTCATTCTCACTGGAGATAAGTGATATGTCACTGTGGTTTTTGATTTGCATTTCCCTGATGATTAGAGATGTTGAGCATTTTTTCATGTGTTTGTTAGCAATTATTCTGTCTTCTTTTGAAAAGTTTCTGTTCATGTCCTTTGCCCACTTTTTGATAGGGTTGTTTGATTTTTTCTTGATTTTCCTGAGTTCTAAATAGATACTAATTATCCGTCCTTTATCGGATGTGTAGCATGTGAAATTTTTCTCCCATTCTGTAGGTTGTCTGTTTGGTCTCATAACAGTTTCTTTGCCTGTGCAGAAGCTTTTTAATTTGATCAGGTTCCATTTATTTATTTTTGCTGTTGATGTGACTGCCTTTGGGGTCTTCTTCATAAATTCTTTTTCTAGGCCAATGTCTAGAAGAGTGTTTCCAATATTTCCTCTAGAATTCTAATAGTTTCATACCTTAGGTTTAAGTCTGTTACCCAGCGTGAGTTGATTTTTATGAGAGGTGAAAGATGTGGATCCTGTTTTAGTCTTCTACATGTGGCTATCCATTTTTCCCAACACCATTGATTCAATAGGGATTCTTTTCCCCAGTGTATATTGTTGTCTGCTTTGTCAAAGATTAGATGGCTATATGAGGATGGTTTTATATCTGAGTTCTCTGTTCTGTTCCACTGGTTGGTGACCCTGTTCTTGTGCCAGTCCCAAGATGTTTTAATTACTACAGCCTTGTAGTATAGCTTGAAGTCTGGTACATTGATACTTCCCATTTTGTTTTTATTGCCTAGGATTGCTTTTGCTATACAGGGTCTTCTCTGGTTCCATACGAAGCATAAAATTATTTTTTCTCTATCTGTGAAAAATGATGATGGTATTTTAATAGGGATTGCATTGACTCTGTAGATCACTTTGGGTAGTATAGACATTTTAACAATGTTGATTCTGCTGACCCACGAGCATGGTATGGTTTTCCACCTATCTATGTCCTGTGCTATTTCCTCCCTAGTGTTTCATAGTTCTCCCTATAGAGGTCTTTTATCTCCTCAGGTAAATATATTCCTAGGTATTTTATTTTCTTTGTTGCTATTGTGAAGGGAATTGAGTCTTTGATTTGGTTCTCACTTTGACTGTTATTGGCGTATATGAATGCCTCTGATTTGTGTGTACTGATTTTGTATCCTGAGACTTTACCAAATTCATTTATCAATTCAAGGAGTCTCGGCCGGGCGCGGTGGCTCATGCCTGTAATCCTAGCACTCTGGGAGGCTGAGGCGGGCGCATCATTTGAGCTCAGGAGTTTGAGACCAGCCTGAGCAAGAGCAAGACCCTGTCTCCACTAAAAATAGAAAGAAATTAATTGGCCAACTAAAAATATATAGAAAAAATTAGCCGGGCATGGTGGCGCATGCCTGTAATCCCAGCTACTCAGGAGGCTGAGGCAAAAGGATTGCTTGAATCCAGGAGTTTGAGGTTGCTGTGAGCTAGGCTGACGCCACGACACTCAGCAACAGAGTGAGACTTTGTCTCAAAAAAAAAAAAAAGAAAAAAAAAAAGAGTCTCCTGGTTGAATTCTTGGGGTTTTCTAGGTATAATATCATATCATCAGCAAAGAATGAGAGTTTGATCTCTTCTGCCCCCATTTGGACACCCTTAATTCCTGTCTCTTATCTGACTGCTATAGCAAGGACTTCCAGCACTATGTTGAACAGAAGTGGAGATAGTGGGCAACCTTGCCTTGTTCCAGTTCTAGGTGGAAATGCTTTCATTTTTCCCCATTTGGTATGATGTTGGCTCTGGGTTTGTCATATATGGCTTGTATCATTTTTAGGTAAGCCCCGTCTATGCCTATTTTGTTAAGTGTTCTTATCATAAAAAGGTGTTGAATTTTGTCAAATGCTTTTTCTGCGTCTATTGAGAGGATCATATTGTCTTTGTTTTTGCTTCTGTTTATGTGGTGAATTACATTTATAGATTTGCATATGTTGAATCATCCCTGCATCTCTGGAATGAAGCCCACTTGGTCATGATGGATTATTTTGTTGATAAGCACCTGGATTTGGTTAGCTAGGATTTTTTTTTTGAGAATTTCTGTATGTATATTCATAAGGGATATTGGTCTGTAGTTTTCTTTTTTTGTTGCATCCTTTCCTGGTTTTGGTACCAGGGTTATGTTCACTTCATAAAATGTGTTGAGGAAGATTCCATCCTTCTTGATGTTGTGGAATAATTTCTGCAGGATAGGCATCAGTTCTTCTTTGTAGGTTTGGTAGAATTTGGGTGTGAAACCATCTGGTCTGGGACTTTTCTTTTTAGGAAGGTTTTTTATTGCTGTTTCAATTTCAGTACTTGATATTGGTCGGTTCAGGAATTCTATTTCTTCCTGGTTGAGTCTAGGAAGGCTGTGTGTTTCTAAGAAATTGTCCATTTCCTCCACATTTTCCAGTTTGTGTGCATAAACGTTTTTGTAGTATTCATAAATTATATCTTGTATCTCCGTGGCATCAGTTGTAATTTCTCCTTTATTGTTCCTGATGGAGCTTATTAGAGATTTTTCTTTTCTGCTTTTCATTAGTCTAGCCAATGGTATGTCCATTTTGTTTATTTTTGCAAAGAACCAACTTTTTGCTTTATTAATCTTCCATATAGTTTCCCTGTTGTCAATTTCATTTAGTTCTGATTTTACTTCTTCTGCTGGGTTTGGTGTCAGTCTATTCTTTTGTCAGCTCTTTGAGTTGATTCATTAGGTTGTCTATTAAGATCATCCTGGGTTGGCCTGAATTAATCACAGAAAGCTCTTCAAAAGGAATTGGAGTCTTGCTATCAGAAATTCTCCTATAGAAGCAAACTGCCATATTCTAGGCAAAGTCGAAAGGCAAGAAACAGCATAATCCTTTAGTTGCTGAGAATGGCCCCTGACTGACAGCCAAAAACAACAAAAAAATCAGGTACTCCAGTCCTACATGCACAAGGAACTAATCCTGTCAACAACCTGTGAACTTAGAAGGGAACCTCAAGCCTCAGACAAGATCACAACCCTGATGGACACCTTGATTTAAGCCTGCTGAGACCCTGAGCAGAGAACCCAACTAAACCCAGACTCATGAACCATGGAAAGTCAAGATAATAAATCTGTGTTGTATTAAGTTGGTAAGTTTATTACACAGCTGTAGAAAACTAATACACTCCTCCAAATGATTCTTCAAACTGCTGCCAGAGTGTTCCATTAAAAACAAAAATCTAAGAAACCTTTTTTGCTTAAAATACTTTAAGAGCTTTCTGTTGCTCTTTAGATAAAATACTAAAACCTTTAAGGACTGCCACCCATAATACCCATTAATATCTTTTACATTTCTGAGCACAAAAAAGGGTTTTCAAATGTTAAACAAAATAAGTAAATACACCAAACAAATACAAACAAAAATAAAATCCATGATACAAAATGATTTCAGCAAGCTGGATCTAATGTTAAAAATGTAAATAAACATACAAAAAAATTGTAATGAAAAAGGTTATAAAAGAAAACATAAAAGCACTGAACCTTTATATTAAAGAACCTTTATATTAAAGAAAACTCTTAAAGATTTGGCTTTTTTATTGTTTAGAAAGGAGCTCTTTGAGTGGGGAACTATAGAAAATGACATAAGAAGAAATCTGGACTTGGAGACATAGTTAGGACAGACCTAAAAATTGGGATAAATGGATCAGTGTCAACCTAAAAAAATATTCTCTAGAATTCAATCACAATGTCCTCACTTCTGTGTCTTCTAATCTCATATTCATGTCCTATTTTTATAATAATTGTCATAGTTTGATTTGTTATTGCTTTTATAAAATTACTCCATAAAACAGTGACTTTTCAATAATTCTCCTGCTTCTATACACCTGGAAGCCTCAGTATATACATACTATTTAAAGCCATGGGACTGAGAAATATAAACTAGATAAAGAATACAGAGAAGAAAAAACAAAGACTGTGTCCTAGGGTACCCCACTTTTAGAGGTCAAGAAAAAAAGAAAAGCAAGCAAAAAGAACTGCAAAGGAGTGGCCAACAATGAAAAGAGTAAACCAGTGAAGTACAATGTGCTAGATGATGTCTCAAGGAAGAATAATCAATTGGGCCAAACACTGCTCATTTATAATTTTATCTAACATCTATCCACCCCATATTAACCATATGAAACTTAAGAATGGTGAAGAAATTAAGGACCTTGGAGAAAAAATTCAAGCCTACTGCTTACAATCAAATTCAACTTTAAGATTCCAAGTCAGTGGAAAATCCACGATCAAATTTCAAGGACCTAGAAAATATTTCAATCAACACTTTTTGTTGTTGTTATTTTCATTTTCTTAAGAGAAAATAACACAAACCCAAACTTCCACAAATATTCAGTATGCTTTAATTTCAAAGAAAATCTGTCATACCTCCGCCAGCTTGTATGGTAAAATAAGCTTTTCTCCCACTGTCACTGTTTTCCTTGTAACTAATGCTTCAAATAGCATCTCTTCTTTAACCTATAAAGCAGAAAAGTAAATTCACTATATAAAATTAATGATAATGGGCTGAATTATCTTTTTGAAAAGCCAAATAGAGAAAAAAACCTTAATGATATAAGTAAGTGCATAACAGAGGAAAAAAGAAAACAAAGAAAATACATGTGGCAATTTTAATACTGGCTGAAGTGAAATTTACGTGTCACACTCACCCCACTTCCCAGTCCCCAAAAAGAGGAAAGAAAGAAAACAGAGGGTAAATAAGACAAATAGGTCTTTTATTTTTAATTAAATTTGCTTTCCGATAATAATAGAGAAATATATTTCACTGTACAAGATACAGAAAATACAGAACAGTTCAAAAAATGTTTTAAGATGATCAACTATAATCCCACAAACGGGAGATAAGTACTAAAAAGTGACAGCAGTTCTTGAATTCCAATACGTACTTATTCCAATATGTACTTATCTATGTTTCATACGCTTATTTTTATTTATGAGTGCTAAACTTTAAGATAAAAGTTGATGCTTTCTTTGTTTTCTCCCCCAGAGGCAAATACTATCATGAATTTGACATGTATCATTTTAATTCATGTTTTTATAATTTTATATGTATTAAAGGTACTCAAAAATACTATATTATATTGTCAAATGTATTTAACACTTACCTGTATGGTTCCATATTGTCCATGTTTTTGATATCTAACTATGTGAATAATTCAGATCAAGTTTATTCATTTTAACTTTTATATAGCATCCCACTGCATAAATACACCATAGCATGTAATCCATTCTGCCATTGGTGAGCATTAACACTATTTAAAATTTTGCATGACTAGAAAATAAACTGCAATGAATATTCTTGCATATCAATGAGTTCAAGAGTTTCTGTGAAAAATAAACCTAAAAGTGGAATTAATAGGTTGTAGTGTACACAATTTCAGTTTTACAGGATATTTCCAAACTCCCATACAAAATTTTTACCAATTTGTTCTCTCAGTAGTAGCACTGAGAGTTATTTCTACAAACCTTGAATATATTTAGTGTTATTAGACTATTGAATCTTGCCTTAATGATTGGCATGAAACATTTAGCAAGAACATTTTATAATAGCATCAATACATAATAAAAATATAGGCCGGGCGCGGTGGCTCACGCCTGTAATCCTAGCACTCTGGGAGGCCGAGGCGGGCGGATTGCTCGAGGTCAGGAGTTCGAAACTAGCCTGAACAAGAGCGAGACCCCGTCTCTACTATAAATAGAAATTAATTGGCCAACTAATATATATAGAAAAAATTAGCCGGGAATGGTGGCGCATGCCTGTAGTCCCAGCTACTTGGGAGGCTGAGGCAGGAGGATTGCTTGAGCCCAGGAGTTTGAGGTTGCTGTGAGCTAGTCTGACGCCACGGCACTCACTCTAGCCTAGGCAACAAAGCGCGACTGTCTCAAAAAAAAAAAAAATATATATATATATATAACATCCATAACATTTTATGTTGACAATATAAGAATTTATTATGCAAAAAAGGATTAGAGTATAAGGAGAAATTGAATTATAAAACAATAGAGGAAACCATTACCATACCACCAACAATTTATGACTGATAAATAATATTTTAAAGAATGATTGTGAACCATACTGAATGGTAAATATCTAGCAAATATAACACCTTCTTTCAGAGCATCCATTGCTCAATCCTCAATTTCCAGACACAGGAAATAATTTCAGACACATTACCTTCACAAAATGCAGTAAATCTAAAAATGAACAACCAAATTTATGTACAAATCTTCAATCTTTTAGATATATTTAAAATACTTTGAGGAATAAAAATAATACCAGAATACACAAAAATGACAAAACTAAGAAAGGTAAGAAGAAACATATGTGATAAAAAACAAAATTATATTTTAAGATATATCTCTGCTACTATTAAAAGTAAACATTTTTAAATGATCTATGCTGTAGACATGAGAACTTTTTTTTTTTGAGACAAAGTCTCACTCTGTCACTTAAGCTAGAGTGCAGTGGTGTCAGCCTAGCTCACTGCAATCTCAGAATCCTGTACTCAGGAGACTCTCTTGCCTTAGCCTCCAGAGTAGCTGAGACTACAGGCACTGGCTACCACACTGGCTAATTTTTTCTATTTTTAATAGAGACGGGGCTCGCTGTTGCTCAGGCTGGTCTCAAATTCCCACCTAGGTCTCCCAGAGTGCTAGGATTACAGGCATGAGCCACCACAGCTGGCTGACTCCAGAAGTTTTTTAAAAGGAACAAACAGAAATAAGTTAGCAACAACATGGAGCAAAGGTCACTTCCATACACTTAAGGGGAGAGTATAAATTGTTACAATCACTGTGAAGAGTAATTTGTCATTATCAGTAAAGCTCAATATCTACATACTATAATCGAAAAATTCTACCCCTTTAGCTATACCCTAGAATAACTGTCACATGTGTTAGTTAACAAGAGGACATGCACAAGAATGCCTATCATCACAGTGATATCTATAAACAGAAAATTATAACCTCAAATCCTAATAACAGGAAAAAAAGATGATTTATGTTTTACTCATACAATGGAATCTTATACAGCAGTTAAAAAGAAGAATCCAGAATATATAAATCAATACCAAATATTTTCAAAAACTAGCCAGGCACAGTGGCTCATTCTTATAATCCCAGCACTTTGAGAGGCCAGGTGGGAGGATCACTTAAGGCCAGGAGTTCAAGACCAGCCTGGGCAACATAGGAAGATCCTATCTCTATAAAAAATTTTTTAAAAATTGGCAGGCATTGTGATCGTGCTCCTGTAGTTCTAGCTACACAGGAGGCTGAGGTGGGTGAATTGTTTGAGCCCAGGAGTTCCAGGCTGCAGTGAATTATGATTATATTTCGTAAGCATCCTAAAGAAAACATTACCAAATTCACGTTTTAATCACCTACCTCTATAACTTTCTAAATATTCTTAGTTGTACCTATGACTTTTAAAATTTTTTTAAACTTTACTAATACAAAATAAGCAGCAATGGATTCAATAACCAATCTATAAAGTTTCTCACATTTACCTAATTGTGAAAATGATATGCATTAATACATTAAAAATCCATTCTTTACATTGTTTCAACAGATGTTAAAATATATACAAAATACATAAATCCACTAAAAACTGAACAGGTTTTGGTAATGGTGATGGTTCTAATATCTTACAACAAAACATCCTCCACAATTACCTATAATTAATCTAATGAAACTTTTTCATCTTTTAATAATTTTACAAGTATCCATCCCAAATAGGCTTTAGTAAACAAAAGACTCAAAACATTCACTGTAGCCTGGGGTAACTACAAAAAACACCTGGAAAAAAATTAATAAAATTAAACTGCTACTTTGAAAACATTTGTTCTTCAAAATTAAATATATATTTATCATTGATTTGAATCATATTTGGGGGCCGGGCACGGTGCCTCACGCCTGTAATCCTAGCACTCTAGGAGGCCGAGGTGGACGGATTGCTCGAGGTCAGGAGTTTGAAACCAGCCTGAGCAAGAGTGAGACCCCGTCTCTACTATAAATAGAAAGAAATTAATTGGCCAACTAATATATATAGAAAAAATTAGCCGGGCATGGTGGCGCATGCCTGTAGTCCCAGCTACTCAGGAGGATGAAGCAGCAGGATTGCTTGAGCCCAGGAGTTTGAGGTTGCTATGAGCTAGGCTGACACCATGGCACTTATTCTAACCTGGGCAACAAAGCGAGACTCTGTCTCAAAAAAAAAAAAGAATCATATTGGGAAGGAGGGGAATTATATCTTAACTAAAGAGTTTAAATTTTAACTAAACCAGTCATTATGCCCATTTTTATATTTTATCTCAACTAAAGCCTTAAGGTTACAAATATTATTATTTATAATCTTAACCAAATAGAAGCAACCATTTTTAAAAATAATTTCTAAGAACTAATTATAGGCAGACTACCATGGTAGGTATCTTCTCTAGCTCCTGATCTTTGAAGCCATTTTCTTTCTACTTAATACAAAACCTCAGTCCTAGAACCACTCCAAACACACCCATGAAGGAATTTAAGAAGCTTGGGTTCAAAAGTTACATTCACTATCAAATCACATTTGCCATTAGTCTAACTTTGACACTGATAAGAATAATTCTCACAATTAGATTTCTCCCTTTTTTTTTTAACCAATACTTGAGATCCACATTGAGTTACCTGAATTGCTCTTATTAGCCTCTCACTAAATAAGGAATACTGCACTAGAACCAGAAGCCTTGGTACTTGCTGAATGCTTGGACTTATACTTAAGACTACTAGCCATAATGCCCAGTATTATACCACAATAACAAATGCTCGACTAAAATATCACCTGAAATACCTAAGTGAAATACCATCTGTTCTCTGACCTTTATGATCTTCAAAATTACAACCTTGAGAAACTACTCTACCTCCTGGTAGAACTTTGTTCCAATGAGAGTATAGTTCCAACTCAAGGTATACCCTTCTTCTGCCCCTTCTTCCAAGCTATCATTCCATCAAAGTTAATAAGCAATGCCCAATCATGTATAGAAAAAATAAACACTGTGAGGTTAGGCATCCATTGCTCTCAAGAACACTGCAGCCTTATAATGGACACAAACTAGTAAATAATGAACTCTATGCTACAAAACCAAAACTAAATTATGGAAAGTAGAAGGAAATGCTCTGTGCTTAGAAAGTCAGTTTAGACTACTTAATAAGGTTAAACCCCATGAAGTGGCACATGAAAAAAAATTTCAAAGATGAGTAGTATATTAATAGGCAAAAAGCTATTCATAATTGCCATAAGCTGGAAACAACCAAAATATCCTTCAGTGGGTGAATGAATAAATTATGGTACATTCATATAATTTATTACTAGTGATAAAGAGAAATAAGCTATCAAGCAACAGAAAGACAGGAATAATCTTTTTTTTTTTTTTTTAGAGAGAGAGAGTCTCACTTTGTTGCCCAGGCTAGAGTGAGAGCCGTTGCATCAGCCTAGCTCATAGCAACCTCAATCTCCTGGGCTCAAGCAATCCTACTGCCTCAGCCTCCCGAGTAGCTGAGACTACAGGCATGAGCCACCATGCCCAGCTAATTTTTTCTATGTATATTTTTAGTTGGTCGATTAATTTCTTTCTATTTTTAGTAGAGACAGGGTCTCACCCTTGCTCAGGCTGGTTTTGAACTCCTGACCTCGAGCAATCCGCCCGCCTCAGCCTCCCAGAGAGCTAGGATTACAGGCGTGAGCCACCGCACCCATCCAGGAATAAATCTTACGTGCATATTGCTAAGTGAAATAAATCTGTCTGAAATGGCTACATACAATATTCTAAAATGCCAAATAGGGCAAATCTATAGAGCCAGTGAAAAGATCAGTGGCTATCAGCAGCTTGAGAAGAGGGGTTGAATAGGTAAAGCACAGAGAATTTTTAAGACAGTGAAACTATTCAGTATGATACTATAATGGTGACACATGACTTCATGCATTTGTCAAAACCCAAACAGCACAAAGAGTGAACCTTGATGTACACAAATTCAAAAAATTACTTAAGGGATTAGGGGAATCCAGGAAGGAATGTAGACCATGACAAGAAGAGTCTAATTGTATGACAAACATATGAAACAAATTCAATGAAAGGGGTGGAAGGAAAAGGTGCTGATCTAAGTAACTCTGGAAATGAGTGAAGTCTGTATGACTAAATACAAAAGGAATTACACATAAGCAATGTATTCTAGTTAATAAAGTCATTTCTGGCTGGGCACGGTGGCTCACGCCTGTAATCCTAGCACTCTGGGAGGTCAAGGTGGGTGGTTCGTTTGAGCTCAGTAGTTCGAGACTCGAGACCAGCCTGAGCAAGAGTGAGACCCATCTCTACTATAAATAGAAAGAAATTAATTGGCCAACTAAAAATATATATAGAAAAAACTGGCCAGGCATGGTGACACATGTAGTCCCAGCTACTTAGGAGGCTGAGCCAGAAGGATCACTGAGCCAGGAGTCTGAGGTTGCTGTGAGCTAGGCTGACGCCACGGCACTCTAGCCCGGGTAACAGAGTGAGACACTGTCTCAAAAAATAAAATAAAATAAAATAAAATAAAATAAAATAAAATTAAATTAAATTAAATTAAATTAAATTAAATTAAATTAAATAAAAATAAAGTCATTTCTCACAAGGGTATGGGTTAACAATTTTGATACTACTATACATGTATACTGGAATTGAACAATTAAGTAAATGGATGGCAGAGGATGCGAGACAGGGTCATCACTACTGAAGTGGGAGTTACCAATACACAAGGGAAGAAGGCTAGAATGATCCATGTGTGAATGGATTAGAGTTGGAGACATCAGTATGAACTCATGTTTAGCTTTATACAGCTATAGATGGTTATACACAGAAATATTTATAGATATGTGTATATACACAGGTTAGAAGGTCTATGAGAAATGACACCCCATCTGAAGGAGTGAATCTGGCAAGATGAAAAGGTAGCTGGGAAAACATGAGAAATCATCACTCCAGGAAGAAAAAATCAGGTAATAAAAACTTTGATATGAAAAAAGGCATGGTAGGAGATGAGAACCTTTAGGTCTTACTCAACCCAAAAGAAAAAGTAGTACCTTTTCTCTCCACCTACCCACATACCTCATCTCAAATAAAATAATCTATCCAAAATCTTAGTAAGAGAAGAAATCTCAAACATGAAAAGAGAAAAGTTAGCATAGGCCCAGTCTAGAGTGGAAATATTCATCCTATCCAGCAAATTGAGAGATTACAGATATCTGGGACAAGTGAAGGCAGGGAAAAAAACCCAAATCTTCTAAAGATTCTGGCAAAGTGAAGCAGATATAAGGAGAAATTCTATCTTTTGGAAACGCTATTTTAAAATAGTATTTAATAAAAACATTATTAATAAAATGCATTATCCCCCTGAGGGTCCAGGGTTCATGTCCCTGTTCGGGCGAAAAAAAAAAATAAATAAAATAAAATAAAATAAAATAAAATGCATTATCCCATTTACACCTACAAATAGTTACACAAAATAAAAATAAGAAGTTACCCAGTAATTGCAATGACAACTGAGAATGTAATCACTCACTTCCAATAATTCTGAGACAACAGGCAAAACTTCAGGATTACAGATATCAATAGAGTCATCCCGATATGTCTTCTTTTTATAACAGATATTACCCAAATGTAGTATTGCTGAGAGAAGAGAGAAAATCCTGTGAAAATAAAACCACAATTATAGCTTGCTCACGTGCATTCTCAAAGCACATTTCATTCCTAAATTCTAGTTAAGCAAATTAACCAGCACAAATATGAAGTATTTAGCCTTGAGAAAAACAAAAAATATGGAAATAATAACTCTAATAACTAAAATTTACTGAGTGTTTAATATATGACAGGCATTGCACAAAGTGCTTTACATGATCTTAATTTAAGTACTATACCACTGGCTACATAGCTGTTTCAAGGGAACATCTGGACATCTGCTATAGCCTGAATTTGCTATAGTGTTTTAAAAAGTCCATGCCTTTCTATACACTATTCATCCTGCCTGGAATGTCTTTCCCTGTATTAACCAGATATATTGAATCAGAATCTCCAAAGGAAAGGTCTTAGAATATGTATTTTTAATCAAGTATCCTAGGTGATTTTTTAATCTTAGTTGTATGTTAAAAATGCTTTCCCATATCATATTATAGTGTCCTTAGTATGTGTTTTTTAGGAAAAAAAACTATGAGGCCAGTGGGGTTTATTATCTAATATCATGCCCTAACTGTAAAATATATTCAACTGGATCCTCCCTTCTCAACTTTCCTCCTGAACCAAAAGGAACACATGCCCACTAGTTAACAACTAAACCTTCTACTTGTGCTCTACATCCCAACAATCAGTTAACTCAAGAATGTTAGGTTACCAAGGACCTCCATTCAGTTAAGAACAGTGTATTGTCTGGTGAGAGCTCAATGAAAGGTGAGCAAAAGCTCCAGACAGGTTCTTCTGCAGTTAACTTGGCAGTTTCTAGGTTGGAATTTGTGCCTTATTTAGAATATCAGAAATCCAAAGTTTTTCTAAGTTTCCATTACATTATGCAGAATGATATTTTAAGCAAAAACTCTGTGACTGTGTAACCACTTAAAAGAGAATGGTTAAAAAAAGAAAAAAGCCCCCCAGGAGCAAGACACTTATTTACTCCTAGGCACCGTTTCTGTGATTCCAGTCACCACCATGTGACCACAAAGGATCATCACTCATCAGTGTGTTCTTCTCTGAAGACAGGTTACATCCTGGGCAAGGCACCAAGGCAGAAGGAGTTAACTTTGCAAGGAAAAAAGTGACTATGTTATAACCATGGATCCTGACCGTGGATAAACTTCTCAAACTTTGGAAACAATTAAGGCAAGAAATTTCAGCTCTATTGAAATGCTGCCTGAGACCATCATGAGAGGGCAAATCCATCCTACCTCAAGATGACAATTATGCTTCTTTTCTCTGTAAAATCCTCCTACTACCAGAGGAGATCTAAAACCTCCAGCTGACAGCTAGAGCCAAACTGCCACACTCGTAAGGCCATATTCCAACCTAGTTAACTCTCTGCCTATATGCATCCACATGAGTGGGCAAACCCAACAGAGGAACCCAACCAACACACAGACCTGTGAGCATAATAAATATTGTCATTAAGTCACTGAAAAAAAAAACAAAAACAGTGTATTATGTCCTTAACTTACCTGACATCCCAGGGGCATTTAGTACACTCTATCTAAAAGCCCTTCTCAATCTCCTTAACATACAAATATCTTTGTGCCTTGTCCAATTATTTCCTTAGGATAAATTTGGTAAAAATGTAACATGTTTTCCTAAAATTAGGAAGTTCTAAATAAAATGACATTGCTTTAGGAATCTGATATACTTCAAGAGGTACTGAATCACCATCTAATTTATAAGCCTACTTTTTCAAATAATTTAAAAATTTTAAATGTTTGAATCATCCTCATGACTCAAAGGAAATATAAGTCTACTATAAAGGAAAAATTCATAAAATTATTCTGGGTTAAATTAAGGAATAGACTCTATTATCATTTTTTTTTCATTTTTTAAAATTTATATTTAATTTTACATTTTTTTTCTTCTCACCCTACAAGAACTTTGACTAATAGACTCTATTATCAATTGAAACATAAAAGCTAATGGAACTCAAAAGACAACACAAATTCATGATCCACTTTTTAACATACTAACTACCATGTGATTTGTATTTAACCAACGCTAGTTTTGAGCCTGAGACCTCATAAAGCACATGTAACTCACATGTCTCTTTACCTTGGGAGCCATGTGAACTATTTGTCAAGTTGCATATAACTCACACACACAAAACAATAAAAAATCAAATTTGTCATTAAATTAGAAAGGATCATTTTGTTTTCAAAGTTTTTGTTCTATTTTTATAATAAAACACCATGGCCCCCATGGAAAAATTTTTTTTCTAGTCAATGTGTTAAAAACTACTTTTAATAGGGGCCAGACACGGTGGCTCACACCTGGTAATCCTAGCACTTTGGAAGGCTGAGGCAAGGGGATCACTAGAAGCCAAGAATTCAAGATCAGCCTGTGCAATAGAGTGAGACCCTATCTCTACAAAAAAATAAAATTAAAAAAATATATATTTTTAGTACAAGTTTATATGGTTGCTAATTACATTGTTTTAATATTTTGGATTCAATATTCATCATATACAAATATGTGATGCAATGTCTCTAGCAATAATGTCATATAAACAATCTAATTCACTATAAGTCAATATTAAAAAGATTTTAAAACATGAATAAGAATCCTTATTCTCAAAAGCTTATAATCTTGTATTAGGAGAAAACAATAAATAAATAACTATCCTGAAGGTCAGGATATTGTAAAATACAAAAGGCAAAGACAAAGCACAATTAAGGAAAAGTTCATTAAAAAGGCAAGACATGAAAAGCACTCTGAAGAAAATAGGTTTCAATTCACATACCAAATTTAAGGCTGCCTACAAGATTATCTTAAGAGAAATTGTGGGGTAGACCTATGTTCAGTACAAAAGAATGTTGTGATTTATTAGCAGAGTTTATCATGGTCACATGAAAGGGGAGTGGCAGTACACATGTATCCAAAAAATTGAAAATATTTGAATGAGTGGAACAGAAATAACGATCATTCCAAACAGGGAAACGAAACCAGTAACTGTTCAGAATACAGCATAATGTTTTAGAGAACAAGACTAGCCTAATTTTTTTTTTCTCTTTTTTATTATCCACTCACCTGCCTGTAAGGACCAGCCTAATTAAAATGTAAAATCTGTATTAGGGAATATTGAAGATAACATTTGAATTATAGGGAAGGTCCAAATTCAAGGCCAGGCTACTAGGAACATATTGTTTCCAAGTGACTACCAATACGGAATTCAGTCACATCAGAAAGTACAAAAGATAATTCCCTCGTGTGTGAGAGGTAAACACTATATTTTCAACTTATGTTATTAAGTTTCACTATTATTTAATATGTAGACTTACACTTCAGACCGTATGTTAGCCAGTGAGGTGTCACATGCAGTAAATGAGGTATCCTGAATGGAGAGTGGAAGTAATACAGCATAGAGAAATTGAGACAGGTAATCTCATTTATTTATTGGCCTTCAGTGAATTGCAGTTTAGGTCATCAACTAGGGTTTGCATATTTATATACTATATTATTTGACTTTAATTCACTTCTCATATAATGATTCTAACAGAGAACCTACTGACTGAAGAGATATACCAATGATGTAAGCATGAGCAAACAAGAAAACAGCAGAGCTGATATTCTCCTACTCTCAGTAAGAGCTCATTACTCATGAGATTAAAAACTGACTACATAATCAGATCTGGCACATTTATCAACACTAATTACCCCCTTCGAAAAATAGTTATAAGTAACTATTTTTTTTCTGGTAAGACTCAAGATTGTATTTTTATTTAAAATTTTTTTATTTTAAATACAATTTGCTTCATCTTCATCTCAACTTTCTTACATTTCTAATCTATATTTACAATGAACAAAATTACATTTAATACAACAGTACAGACATAAATCAAATACACAGAAAATTACACAGGAAATTATGTTTTACTGATAGGTATGTATGACTTAATATGTTAGTGATCAATGATATAGAAAACAAGGAGCTATAAAAATAGTGTCATAAAGCAACAGTTTTTAAGTTACTGTCTATGGATAGGCTTCAGAGGCTCCAAGAATTCCTGCAATTACATGCAAATTTTTACGGATTTATATTTTACAAGAACAGTTTCAACCTTTGATCAGATTCTCAAAGAATCTGTGGGGGAAAAAAAGCAATTCAAAACAATGCTTAAGATGGATGAGGTACTAGATCAAGAGTATCAGTTAGAAAATTGTTTAACAGGACCAACGGTGAGAAATCTTTCAAGGACATATCATTTGTTCTCTACTGAGAGTATAAGAATACAATAAATAAACTCACTGTCTTCGTGTCTTAGGAAGAAATCCAACCATTTCCATGGCCAATTGTAACCGTTCAAAGTCATGTCTCAAGTCTTCGCCCTCTGTGGTGAAGCAATCCTGCTTATTCAAGATAAAAGGAAAAAAATCAAGATTACCTATTGAAAAATAGTGTGAGCCATTTAGAAATATGGTAATATAAGATAAGTACCCCTATGTAGATATCTTAAGCAGGTAGATTAATAGACATAGTTAAATTCATTAGACCTCTCATCTTACTATGGGTATGCAAACTATCACATACCTACCAAAAATACCAGTAAGTTACCTTTTTTCTCCTTTTCACATGATCACCAAAACAAAGAGCTCAAAGTAATTTAAGATAAAGAGCTAGCAAGCAGTACTTATAAAGTATGTTACTATGAAGTTTGATATTGAGTGGTTCTGAAGAGTTTTAAAGATTCAAAGCATTTAAGAGAGCTTAATTCCACAAGCAAATATTATTTATTCAAGAAATATTTTAACAAGTGACTACCATATACAAGGCACTGAACTAGATCCTGGTAACACAAAAATAAATTTTAGAAGACACAATAATTTAGTTGCAAGTGGAGCTCAGAGTTATATGATATAAAGAGGTTTATGTTACATCTATATTATATATCTAAATAGTGCCGAATCAAATCATATGGACAATGCAGTAATCGACCAAGGAACGAGAGACGTATATGTGAAAGTAAAAACCCTCAGAAAACATATGAGTCAGCAAAACCAATTGTAGAGTACCAGATTAAAAAAATATTAATACTGCTTCTTTACTGTAGCTCTTGTATTTTAGTTTCCAAAACGAACAGTGACACTGCAGACATACTCTAAACAATGAGTTGTTAAATCCCTTTGCGATATGTTCTCACAGTCCCTTGTACTTACATTTTCAAAAACCTCCTCTTATTTGTATTTATTTTTTTAATCCCCATCTTCCTAGGGAATGTTCCATTGAGTATTCAAGGAACACATGAACAGTTAACTGTCTTATTTACTGCAGATCGCAAGTGTGAAGTCAGTGCCAAGAACATAATGAATCATTACTGAAGTAAACACATAATCATTGAATTACTGAATAATACATAAATATTGAATTGAATGAAACATTTCTTTTTGAGAAATAAAGTGCTCATTTATTTTTTAAAAAGTATTTATTAGGTATCTACCATGTACAAGAAAACCTGTTTTAGGCACTATAAGTTAATGAATACATCTAAAGTTTAAAATTAAATATTAGAAAGCTGTTAATATTTTTATTCTCTATATGGGGAGGTATACACATGCACAGTTTTCTTTTTTAATCTCATTACAAGAAAAGTTCTTTCTGAGAGCTCAGGCATTTAATTTTCTGACTACAAAAATTTTTGGCAAGCTGCTGGGTGTGGTGGCTCATGCCTGTAATCCTAGCTCTCTGGGAGGATGAGGCAGGTGGATTGCTCAAAGTCAGGAGTTCGAAACCAACCTGAGCAAGAGTGAGACTCCGTTTCTAATATAAATAGAAAGAAATTAATCGGCCAACTAATACATATAGAAAAAATTAGCCAGGCATGGTGGCGCATGCCTGTAGTCCCAGCTACTTGGGAGGCTGAGGCAGTAGGATTGCTTGAGCCCAGGAGTTTGAGGTTGCTGTGAGCTAGGTTGACGCCACGGCACTCACTCTAGCCTGGGCAACAAAGTAAGACTCTTGTCTCAAAAAAATTTTTTTTAATTAAAAATTTTTGGCAAGGAATTTTAAGACATATTCTACAGACATGCCAATGTCCTACTCACTAAATTTTTTAAATTAACACATTTTTCTTTTACTTATAGTAAAGCCTTTTTAAAAAGCTCTCTTTGCCCCCAAACCACAAGCAGTTCATTCATTACATGATTTAGCAAACATTTTTCTATAACAAATGGGGGGAGGGTGTAAGAATCTATGTTCCCACTTGTGTAAACTCAATGATAAAGCAATGATTTTTATAACAGTGTTCTTATCTGCCCCAAAAGTGAACGATACAACTAATGTATATAATACTGGGAAAGCAAATTAAAAGAGGCACTAAAAATATTTATATTTGCTGTTATCCTTAATCAGATGTTCTTCTGAAATACAAAGTGGTCTCAGTGAACACCAAAATCATAATTATTTTAAATGTGTACTGATTCCTTAACTGGTTCCTTGATATAACTATAGAAGAAAAACTAAGCATAGATTAAATCTACCATACCAGAAATGCCTTTATCTTGATTTGCGTCCCCCGAAGCACCTTGGTCTGTTTACCAAGGTTCAAGTAAAAATAGTATGGAAATTGGGAAAGTCAAACAGAAAAAGGAAGGTGGGCTAAATAGGGTACACTCTAAAAGCAGCTACCACAGTGGGTAAATGGAGTTTAATCACAAGGAATCACTGGGAAACAATATACAACCTAGAGAGATGAGAGAGCATCTCCCATTGGTCACTGGTTAAGGACTTCTGGAGATAAGGCACACAGCTATTAATTCCCAAGTCACTTGGGTCTGGGAAAAGTCTTCAGGTACCAGGATACAAATATTGGTCAGCCAGCGAATAAAGTAATGGTAACGTTCAAAGGATAAGGCAGGAACCTAACCAACAACTGTTACTACCCCTTCTACTGAAAGAATATAGCTAATTTCTCTGTCCAACTCAACACAAGCTCTTGTCTTGTTAACATGCCACTGCACACATCAAAATGCTCTCTCATGCTATCTGGCCTTTTTTCCCCTTTGTATGGGATGAAGAAAATCCTTTCTCATTTACAAATGCCTAAGATAAGCCTAGCATGTAATAGGCACTTAATGTGGGTGTGAAAGAGAGAAAAAGAAGGGAAGAGTCAAATTAGATATTTTCTTCTATGTTGTCTATATTTCTTAAAACAGTTACATAAACTGCAGGTGAAAAAAATAAATTAAAAAAAAAGGGTTAAGAAATCACACTTTTTCATAACTACCATACAGTCAAGACAGAAATCAGAACAACTGACTTTAAAGGTTAATAAAGATGCTGGAGATCACTTAAGAAAAAAGGATATAACGAACATAGGATTGGATGAAATCCCAGTTACACTATTAACTATCTTCAACACCATGGGGGTAACTGGATTAAATTCTACACCAATGTCACTTCTAGTGTGAAAGGTATCACTACCACCAGGGGTTTTATAAGGATGAAATATAATATGGATATTATGTGCTTTTTAAATGAAAAAATATATGCAGAGAAAGTTGTACAGCATGCAGACATCTCATACTGGACTGGTGGAGGGTGAGGAATAAAAGCCAGAAAGATAATGTTTAAGGGAGTGATCACAAATATACAAACTGACAAATGCAGTGTGGCAGAAGTCTTTATGCTACACAAATAGTTAAAACAGAGTGAACAGAAACATTATGGTTTCAAAGGATTCTGCCCAAGTTGCATCAGGATCCCTGAAAGTACTGTGGTAGGTCTACCTCATGGGAAAATGAACTCCCAGGTATTTATTGATGTTTGGATTCCTCCAAAGATAGTAGTGACCAAGGCTAGAGCTTTGTCTTCACTGGATAGTATAGTCCAAATCCCTCTGGTAGATTTGACAGTGCCCTGAGACTATCACTTATTATGGCAATTATCACCAGAACTCCACCTGATAATTGGATACTAAAATTAAAGGCTAAGTTGAGCTGGATAAAAGAATAAGGTAAGACTGACACTTTACAGTGAAATTATTCAGACCAGCTTTAAGGTACAACTACAGCAGACATCAGCTAACATATAAGCAGTATTTAATTCATCCTCCATATCTTATAACTGAGGAAACAAAGGCTAAGGTGCTGTTAACAATAACAATAAAAATAAGAATAACTCATTTGAAGAAGAATAATTTGAATAAATTATTACCATTTGAAGGGAAATTAGCATTTAACTAAATACCTTCTATATATTTGTCATCATGATAGTCACTTTATATGTATACTCTCACTAAATCCTCAAAACACAGGAGATAATTATATATAAACTTATAGGTGAAAAGAAAAAACAGATTAAGAGATTAAATAACTTTCCAAAGGTCAAAAACCTTATAAATAACAGGACTGGCCAAACCAAAATCTATCCAGTTCCAAATCCTCTACTCTCTCCCATGCAACACTGCTCTATGAGATAACCCTTAAATGGAATTAAATGAGATAACCTTAAATGGAATTAAATCACCATATAAGAACAACAACATGTCTCACGTAAAACGTAATTTTTCACTATAGGTCCTCTTGGGACCATTTATACAATTCTATAAAATATATAAGTAATGTAACACAACAGAACAATCCTTTAACAATCCTCTCTGCTCATAATGTTAGTCACATTAAGTTCTAGCAACTCACATGGAAACCAAGTTTACTACGAGAAAGAGCTAACAGGAAAGAATAAACCAAAAGGTCCTCAGTTTGCTTTTATTAATTAGTGAGAAAAAGAATCAGAAATTAAAATCAAAGTTCGAACTGTAATGGATTTAAAAATACAGTAAGCAGACAATGGTAATCAAAGTAATATTAAGGGAATATGAGATTATGGCCACAAAGTTCTTCCAAAAGCAAAAGACAGATAATGATGATTTCAATGGTGGAAACAGTATGAAGTACTCTATCAAGCTCTTTATATTCACCAATTTAATAGTCACAAAATACAAAGATTATTAATATTATACCCTTAAATAGATGGTGGGAGCAAACAAGTCAACTGCTGCAGGTCTCAAAACTAGTAAATGAACGAGCCAGTACTGAAGTCGAGTCAATCTACTTGAGAGCTCAAATTCTAAGTACTATTTATATTGTTTCTTAATAACAGCAGATCAATTCACAATTTCACCATAAGCTCTGAACAGGCTACCAAGTCTATTTGCAGTATGAGTTCACAGTCCACCTACCTGCTTTCCGATGAGGCATGATCACTTGGTGTAGTACTCATATAGGGAAAGTAGAAGCTTCTTAAGAACATCAAAAGAACTTAAATTTTTTTTTATTAAAATGTATCAGAATCTATAAATCTAAATATCTAATATTTATTTTCCAAAATGTTAAATCTGAACACAGAAATTATTTGACTATGAAATAGTAATGTGATTAAACTTTGAAGGAAAAAATTATTATCCATATATATTGATCTTTCTCAACTCTGAAATAGGCTAGTTTTGCAATTAGTGGAGTTTATAACAACATGCAATGAGAATCAAAGTCGTGGTTCTCTAAAGCAAGGTCCAAGACATGTTATGTTTCCAGGAAGAATATTTAATAAATTAATTCATTAGTGAATTAATAGATATAAGTAGATGTATATATTCAGCCTTTTACATTTGCCCTAATTGCAAACTTGACGAAAGGAAAAAGAATTTTTTGTGCTCTTTTTAGGATTACAAACTTCTTTTAAAATGTAACAAAGTTAAGGCCGGGAGTGGAAGATCATGCCTGTAATCCTAGCACTCTGGGAGGCCAATGTGGGAGGATCATTTGAGCTCAGGAGTTTGAGACCAGCCTGAGCAAGAGCGAGACCCCATCTCTATTAAAAAAAAAAAAAAGAAGAAAGAAAGAAAATTAGCTGGACAAGTAAAAATATATAGAAAAAATTAGCCAGGCATGTTGGGACATGCCTGTAGTCCCAGCTACTCGGGAGGCTAAGGCAGGAGGATCGCTTGAGCCCAGGAGTTTGAGGTTGCTGTGAGCTAGGCTGACACCGCAGCACTCTAGCCCGGGCAACAGAGTGATACCCTGTCTCAAAAAAAAAGTAACAAACTTAAATTTACCTACTCCTTTTAACTTTCATCATACATCCCCTTAATCAAGCAATTTAAAATCTAAAATAATCTTACTTATAAAAATTTCAATACTTAATTGTTGGGAAATTTTATTAAGACTATAGCCTCTCTTACTATAAAAGAAATAAAAGAAAAAATATACATGCATTCATTATGTGACAAGATTGCCAACATATAAAACAAAAAGTATGTATTTTTTTAAAAAATAAGAATTACTACTCATGATATGTGATTAATGAAACTACTAAAAAATAATTTTAAAAAATAAATCTCAGGGTTGGGCAAGGTGGCTCATGCCTGTAATCCTAGCACTTTGGGAGGCCAAGGCAGGACAATCACATGAGGTCAGGAGTTTGAAACCAGCCTGAATAACACAGTGAGACCCAGGTCTCTACAAAAAACATAAAAATTAGCCAGGTGTGGTGGCATGTGCCTGTACTTCCAGCTACTTAGGAAACTGAGGCGGGAAGATTGCTAGAGCCAGGAGTTTGAGGTTGCAGCAAGCTATAATCACACCACTGCCCTCATGCCCAAGCAAAAACTTGAGACTCCCTCTTAAAAAAAAAAAAAGTCAAGGGGAAGAAAAACTATAGTTCATACAGATCCATATCAATGCTGAAAAACCAGGAATGCAATCAATTTTATTTATTGTTTGTCAAAATAAATACTGAATGTGGACCAAACATTAGCAACATGAAAATATCCAAAAAAAGGTAAACTGACTGGTTTTTAATCAACAAACCACAAATATACAAATCAATCAAAGAAATTAAACACTGATTTATCTTCTTTCCTAGGATTTTTTTATATTTCAGCTGATTTTCATTCTGACTAGATTTTTTTCCTTAGATAAGGATCTTGCCCTGTCACCCTAGGTAGAATGCAATAGCATCACTGTAGCTCACTGCAGCCTCAAACTCCTAGGCTCAAGCGATACTCCTTCTTCAGCCTCCCAGGTAGTTGGGACTAAAGGTGCCTGCCACCATGCCTGGCTAATTTTTCTATTTTTAGTAGAGCCAGCATCTCAATCTTGCTCAAGCTGGTCTCGAACTCCTGAGTTCAAGCAATTCTCCCACCTTAGCCTCCCAGAGTGCTAGGATTACGGGCATGGAGCCACTGTGCCCGGCCCCTGACTAGGTCTTAGATAGATGCAAATGATCAACATGAGGGCCCTTTAACAGGAACACAGAATATTTAGGTACTTATACTGACCGGCTCAGAGTCATAGCAATAATCATCCCAGCTCTGTCTGAGGGGTTTCTTTGTTATCTGAAAGTAAGGCAGATTAGTTAGGTAGAAGTAATGGTTATTACAGTTTTCTGATGATTTCTTAGATGTAGTGTGCAGGCAGCACTGCTGCTATTCAAAGAAATGTTATTTTACATAGCAGCATAAAATAAGAAATAACTAAGTAGATATTCAGATTCTGAGAGATCATATAGTATTCATCCCACCCCATATAAGCCACTATCCAGTAAATGATATTTTTATTAAATGCTGAGTCCATATCCTATGAATACTGACATTATGACAAGCATATGTTATGTTCATTAAATACAAAAAGATCTGGAAGGGCAGCAAAACTCCAGATTTCTCTAATATTAACAACTATCAACTCATTTATGGGATATTATTACTTTGTAAAGAAGAAAATCTTGAATCACCCAAATATAATGTAAGTAGTTTAAACAAGGGAGGAAAAAAACACGGAAGCTAAATTAGCAACTCTTTATTTTAAAAAATCTACTTAATTCTATCCAGTAAAAATGCCTAATATTATATCAGAAAGTGATATTTTGGATAACTTTGAAATTTTCAATATATTAATACAAAGTTAGTCTATATTAATATATACTTTCAGAATTAAGAAATAGTAGTTATACACTGTATATCTTGTGAAAAGTTTACAGTGTTATTTTCATACCCCTAAATATGCACTGCAATCTTTCAGCCATCATCAAAGTATCAAATGTGCTTATAAAACCTTCATAAGAATATTTTTAACTGCCATAAAGGAACTTCTTTCCATAGGCATTACAGCTTGCTTCAAAGAAAAAATAAGGGGAGACAATCTATTATTTAAATACCTACGTTTCTACCAATTCCATTAATATTGGTTTTAGAATTTTGGTTAATATGAGGAATAATAAAATTAGAGAAACCAACATAATGAAAAGTTGTGAGACTTACTCCTAATTGTGGAAGTTTAGGGATAAATTTTGAGTTTTGAGGAAAGATCCAAATTCTCTAAGTCCTTTGATGAATTTCATACTGAATGTTTAAGAGGACTATTTTTATAAAAATCATCATACTGTAAGTCAGTATCATAATATCATGCAAAGACCTATGTGGTTACATTTTAAAGCATGCAAATCAGGTTTCAAGTAATCCTTTGCAAAGGACAAGCATTAATCATTAGTAATATTTAACATTCTGGGGTCTGGAAAAAGTAAATCACTTATTATAAATAGATTATTATTTTCTTAAAGAATCTCACAAAAAAGCACACTTATATGAGGGTGGTAATAATTTTTAAATTTGCGAAATATATAACATAAATTTTTAGATTACATGTATGAACATGCAAGTTAATATCCATTACCAGGTTTGGGAAAGAAAGTACTAAGAAAAAAGCCTTTTTGAAGAGCTAAAATTTAATAATGTCCTGCACTTCAAAATGCTTTTTATAAACTCTCACCTGATTGAGATAATGATATTCCTCTGGTTGTTTAAGGTGGAATGCTGATCTTTCTTCTTCACTTGCTCCTGCCAGTAGGTAATAAAATACATGATAGTTCCTGTTGAAAATAAAGAAGTATAACTTTATTTTTTTATTTCAGAATATTATGGGGATACAAAGTTTTGGTTACATGGATTGTTAGAAGTATAACTTTCTAATGTATATGATTTATGGTTATCATTTAACAAGAAAAAAAGCAAAATTTAGTAAAATGTATCTACCAGCTTTGCTTCATTTTTTAAATACAAATGTGATAAATTCAGTATTTAAGTACTCCTACAAAACAGAATGATGTTTTGGATGTGGAATACAAAAGAAAAGGATAAAAGCACCAAAAAGACAAAGTTAGGACCTCTGAAAATTCTCTCATCCATAAAACCAATGAGAAACCTGGCAAATTTGTCACAATTAACTTCTTCAGAACTGTGAAAATTAACCAAAAGCTTGCAGCAATACAGAGAGTGGTCACTCAAGAAAAACAGCTGAATCTCAGTAAAAACAGCTTGTGGCATTTTAACTTGCCCTAGTCCATATCCCCTGTTCACCAAGTCCACAGTATCCTTGAAAACCAATGGCCTGTGATCATAGTGGACACGAGAAGCCTGGTAGCCACCAGAAGGGGTTGAACAGGGTTGAAACTTGTTCAAAACCTCATTCCCTAAGAAATAGCATTATTTGAACTGTCCAGTGGTTCCCTGGAAGAAGCCATATTCAAGACTGACTTTTTCTGTATTCCTGCTTATATTAAAGAAAAAAAAAAAAAAAAGACTGACTTTATATGACCTGATCATACTTTGTACAATGCAAAAATCTTTTCCCCGGAGGCATCAACTGAAAGCAATTTATGCAATTGTTAAACATGCCTGCTGCCTGAAGTGGTGGGTAAAAGCTGGGGCAAACAATAGGCTAACCAAAAACCTTAAAAGGAAAAGCTGGTGAATGGGATCTTCATATAGGCTTTGAAAAGCCCAGTATATTTCCTCAGAATCTAGAAGGCCATATGCATGTGTAAAGCTGTGCACTTCCCCGGAATTGCATATACTCTCAGAAAGGATCAGATAAAGTACTAAACTCTTACCTCTGGCTAACCTTGAAGATCTACACAAACAGAAAGTAAAGGAGAAGGTAGATTTATAAAATGCCTAGCTGAGTGTTGAAGGCATGATACAATATACACAGAAAGCCCTGTGGCAAAGACTAGGAGACTTACTGTATCCAAGCATTTAAATCTCTGTCCAATCATTACCTGACTACTAAGCTAAATAAGCAGATACTTCAATGGCCACACTTGAAAAAAAATACAAACTTTATGAAATCAGTTCAAAAAGTAACAGAACAATTAAACAGCAGGAATAAAAACAATCAACACAAATCCTAGGAGGGAGAGAACACATTTCCAGAGTTGTCACATTATATTATTTTAAATGTCCAATTTTCAACAAAAAAAGTATAAGTCTTGCAAAGAAACAAGTAAATATAACCCATGCAAAGGAGAAAAACAATTAGTAACTGTTCCTGAGAAATCCCAGACATAAGACTTACTAGATAAGATTTCAATCAGCTATTTTAAATATGTTCAAAGAACTAAAGGATATCACATTGAATCAACTAAAAGAAAGTATGATAATGCTGTCTCACCAAATAAAGACTATCAGTAAAATAAAGAACTTAAAGAAAATAAAAAGGAATTTTGGAGGTTGAAAAATATAAATGAAATGAAAAAGTATCTAGAGGAGCTCAATAGCAGATATGAGTAGGCAGAAGAAAGAATCAGTGAACTTGAAGAATAAATAAACTTGAAGACAGGTCAATTGAAGCTAGTCTGAGGAATAAAATGAAAAATTAATGAAGAAAAGTTGACAGAGACTCAGAGACCTGTAGGACAATTAAAAAGACCAATATATATAATGAGAGTCCCAAAAGGAAACGAAAGAACAGAAAGAATATTTGAAAAAATAATTACCAAAAACTTCCCAAACTTGATGGAAAATATTAATTTGCACAAAAAACTCAATGGCTCCAAGGAGCATAAACTCAGACATTCAGACCTAGACCTACCAAAACTATTTAAAGACAAAGAGCATATTTTGAAAGCACCAAGACAAAAATGCTCCATTAAGGTATCCTATTTTAAGATTAATAGCTAATTTCTTACCAAGAACCTGGCAGAGAGATAACATATTCAAAGTGCTGAGAAGGAAAAACTGTCCATCAAGAAGTATATATCCAGTAAAACTATTCTTCAAAAATAAAGAACAAATCAGGACATTCCAGATAAACAAAAACTAAGAGACTTCATAGCTAGCAAATGGGCCTACAAGAAATACTCAAAGGAATTTTTCTGGCTTATATAAAAAGACACTAGATAAGATTCAGTTTAACATGAAAAAATAAAAAATGCTGACAGAAGTAACTACATAGGTAAATATAAAAGATAGTATAAGTTTTTTATTTGTAATATTTTTTGTCTTATTAGATTTAAAAAACCATATAAAGCAGTAATTATAAATCTGTGTTGATGGGTATACCATTGAAAAGATGTAATCTGCCTGCTAATAACAGCACAAAGAAGCAGAGTTACACAGGTGCAAAGCTTTTGTATATTATTAAAATTAAATTGTCATTAACCCAAACTACACATTAATAAGTTAAGATGTTAACTGTAATCTCCAGGGTAACCACTAAGAAAATAACTAAAAAATAATAAAAGAAACGCCAACTACGTGAAAATGGTACACTAGAAAACATTTATTTAACACAAAAGAAGGCAATGATAGAAGAATAGAGGGGACTAAAACATCATAACACCTATAGAAAAGAAATAGCAAAACAGTATTTGTAAATCCTACCTTATCAGCAGTAACTATATTAATTATAAGTGAATTAAACCTCACTAATCCAAAGGCAGATAACTGACAGAATGGATTAAGAAAAAAATGATCCAATCACATGCTGTATATAAGAGACAAGCTTTAGATTCAGAGACACAAATATGTTGAAAATAAAAAATGGAAAAAGACACCATGCAAACAGTAACCAAAAGAAAGCATGAATGTCTATACTAATATCAGATAAAACAGACTTTAGTACAAAAATTGTTACTAGAGACAAAGGTGGCCATTTTTACAATGACAAAAGGCTAATCCATTAAGCAGATATAATTCTAAATACATGTGTCTAACGACATAGCCCCAACATACATAGAACAAAAAGAACTTGATAGAACTAAAGTAAGAAATAGATAATTCAACAATAATACTGAGATAATACTGCACTTTCAATAATGAACAAAACAAGACAAAAGATCAACAGAGAAAAAGAGAACTTGAAAATTACTATATACCAACTAGACCTAACATCTATCTGTAGAATGCTCCATCCAACAATAAAAAGATACACATTCTATCAAGTCCACATGGAACATTCTCCAGGAGACACCACATGTGAGACCACAAAACAAGTCTCAATAAATTTAAAGGAGTGAAATCATACATCCACTCCAACTTTGCAATGAAATAAGACATCAGTAACAGAAATTTACAAAATTAACAACTACATGGAAATTCAATAATATACTCCTAAATAACCAATGGATTAAAGAAGAAATCACAAGCAAATTAGAAAATACTTTGACATGTACAAAAACAAAACACTATTCACCAAAACACAGAAAACAGCTACGCTTTGAGGAACTTTATACCTGTAAATCCATATTTTAAAAAAAGTAGGGGGTCAGGGGTTAAAAAAAAAAGAAGAGGAAAGATTCTAAATCTATAACCTAACCAACCATCCACCTTAAGAAACTAGAAAAAAAGAGCAAACTAAACTCAAAGCAAGCAGAAGAAATAATAAATGTTAAAGCAGAAGTAAATGAAATAGGGAATTGAAAAAACAATAGAGAACATCAGTGAAACCAAAGATTGGTTCCTTTGACAATATCCACAAAATTAACTAACTTTATCTAAACTTATGAGATAGACACAGAGACTCAAATTCAGGAATGAAAGAAGGGGAAATATTACTACCAACCTTACAGAAGTAAAAAAATATTATAAGGGATACTATAAAGAATTTTTTGTCAACAATTACATAATCTAGAAGAAACAGACAAATACCTAAAAGGATGCAAAGTACTAAATCTGACTAAAGAACAAATAGAAAGTCTAAACAGATCTGTAACAACTAAAGTGTTTGAATTAGTAATCAATCCAGGTTCTGGATCTTCAACACCCATTCATTCTCCAAAACCAAGGAAATCAGGCTTATATCCCCTTCACTCCATTAAACTGTGTTAGAGAAAGTTACTAATAACCTTCTAATAGCATCTGATACATCCTGCAAGTGTTCATGAAGCTATTTTCTTCCTGAAACTTTCTTTCTTTTCTGTTAAAACACCTCTAATTCAGATTTCCTCTGACTTCTGTTAGTCACAAAATAATTAACAGAAAAGCCTGAGTTCTAGTACTCATCTTGATAGTAATTCATTATGGTAATGTTAGCTATTGATTAGTGAGCTTTTATTGTTAAGTACCATGCCAACAATTTATAAATGTTATTTCATTTAATCCTCTAATAACTTTAGGATAGTTCTCTATCTGTAAAATGGGAATAAATACCTTCTGCTAGAAGTTAAGTGAGATGCCCAAGACATATCCAAGATGCGAATGGAGGTCTGTTTAACTTCAAATTCTGGCTGTTTATTTTATCTCACTACAGCAGGAAGCAAATCATGTATTTACCTCTCTATGATATTTGGTTTCTTCATCTAAAGGATATTACATATATCATCTCTAAAGACCCATGTACTTCAAACATTACAATGGAATTCACAGCTTTCCTGAAAACTTTCCTTGAATCAGAGAAAGAACTAAAATGGAAGAAAGATCCAAACACACGTTGCTCACAAAGAGCAATGAGATACTACCTGAGAAAACTGTTTTCCTGTTCTGATAATTTGCCTAGAATCAAAAATCTCCTCCTAGCCGGGCGCAGTGGCTCACGCCTGTAATCCTAGCACTCTGGGAGGCTGAGGCGGGCGGATTGCTCGAGGTCAGGAGTTCGAAACCAGCCTGAGCAAGAGCGAGACCCCGTCTCTACTATAAATAGAAAGAAATTAATTGGCCAACTAATATATATATAAAAAAAAAAAAATTAGCCAGGCATGGTGGTGCATGCCTGTAGTCCCAGCTACTCGGGAGGCTGAGGCAGCAGGATTGCTTGAGGCCAGGAGTTTGAGGTTGCTGTGAGCTAGGCTGACGCCACGGCACTCACTCTAGCCTGGGCAACAAGTGAGACTCTGTCTCAAAAAAAAAAAAAAAAAAAAAAAATCTCCTCCTAGCAGCCTCTGAAAAACCACAGTGTTTTACCCCGGATAGAAATAGCAATTATACATAAAAGTTATGCATGAAGTAAACTGAATTAAGGGTAATAATACACAAAGAGCTTAAAAATCAATCTGTATGATACAAATCTTACTTTTATCTAATTACACAAATAAAGATATGTACCGTTCATTATGCTCTTGATAAACGAGTCTGGACTTCTCCAGTAGATATTTTTCAACATAGGCACTAGAAGAAAAGTAAAATTGGATGATATAAATAATAAAGTTTAATAAAAGTATATAAAGGTAGACAAATATTTATTGAGAGAGTGCAAAAGTATAAAATACACTATCCAGATCATTTCAGCACATTTAGCATTATAATTGTGTTATGGATACTGTTAAGTGTTATTCATGTTAAATTCATAAGGTCATGAGTCTTTTTTTTTCACTCAATAAAGCAAAATAAAGTCAGAAGTTCGAAATATGGTATACAAGATCCTCCAAGATTCAGACTCTACATCCTTTCCAGGCTCACATACCACCATACATTCTTCCAGACATTATACTTTGGCCAGACTACTAAATAAGGCTCAAAGAGATACTTTCCTTATATATTCTTGCTATTACCACAACCTCAAATCTATTTATTTATTATTTACTGATTTATTCTGTAAGCATTCATTTATTGGGCACTATACTAAGCACATGGAATATGGGAAAAAGTGATACATTACCTGTTCTCAAAGTGCTTACAAACTAGCGGAGAAAATAGGTAAACTAGCAGCTAGCTATCATAATGAGTTGATAGAGTTTATCACAGAGCAATGACCAGGATATTACCCATACACCAACAGTGTCTACTTGAGATTCAATTCAAGAAGGAAAAAGGATGTCAAGAAGAATTTCCATGGATAGTGAGAACACAGCACACAGTAAACATTCATTAAATATATCTGGTGAGTAAGTGGCTTAGTAAATGAATCTAAAATCGGAAGGATTAACCAGAAGAAAGCAAGGAAAACTGCCTTTATGTAAAGGTACAAAGGAAAGAGGGTACACATATCAACTTGAGGGAAAACAATTACAATCATGCATCACTTAACAATAGAGGTATATGATGAGAAATGTGCCACTAGGCAATTTTGCCATGCAAATATCACATAGTATACTTACACAAATCTAAATGGCACAGCCTACTGAACACCTGTGCTACAAACCTGTATAGCAATTACTGTACTGAATACTGTAGGCAACTGTAACACAATGGTATTTGTATATCTAAATGTATCTAAACATAGAAAAGGTACAGTAAAAAATATAGGATTATTCATCTGACATTTTTAATCTAAAAAAAAAATATAGGATTAAAATCTTATAAGAACACCATAGTATATACAGTCTGACATTGACTAAAATGTCATTATGTGGCTCATGACAATAGTTAAGTATGGCTAGAGAACAAGATAGGCAGGTGGATTAGATCAAGAAGAGCTAATATACCATGGGCCAGAAGAATGAACTATATCCTGAAAGTAATGAAGAACTGAAACATAAATTATATTTCTGATATTTTATTCTCTTTATCCAGACTGTACCCTTCAAAGTCTTCAATACTTCTTACCCAAACAGAAACAATCAGTTAAGATATTAGCGGAAAGGGGATTCTATAATCCAAAACTGAAAAGCTGCCGGGCGAGGTGGCTCACGCCTGTAATCCTAGCACTCTGGGAGGCCGAGGCGGGCGGATTGCTCCAGGTCAGGAGTTCAAAACCAGCCTGAGCAAGAGTGAGACCCCATCTCTACTGTAAGTAGAAAGAAATTAATTGGCCAACTAATATATATATTAAAAAATTAGCCGGGCATGGTGGCGCATGCCTGTAGTCCCAGCTACTCGGGAGGCTGAGGCAGAAGGATAGCTTGAGCCCCGGTGTTTGAGGTTGCTGTGAGCTAGGCTGACACCATGGCACTCACTCTAGCCTGGGCAACAAAGCGAGACTCTGTCTCAAAAAATAAAAATAAAAATAAAACTGAAAAGCTTTAGACTACTGAATACAAATTACTTAGCGCAAACCTCTTTGGGGTCAAAATCAGACTTGAGCTGTATTTCCCTCAGTTCCCTCCCATCACTTGGCTCTATACTCAGTCACTCTCAAACACAGGCTATTTCCTCAAGTATGCCATTCACTCCTGACTGCATTGTTCATGTTCTTCTTTCCATTTTGAATTCCCTAGTCTATTCCTCAGTTTCTGTCCAGTAAATTTCATGCCTTCATTAAAATGAAACTCAAACATGCCTTTGCAAATCCACTGCCACAATTACCACCAGAAATTAAAATTTATTAATACTTCTTCTGAATTACCATTACCATCTCTAAACTACTGCAACAGGCTCTTACCTGTCTAAAATGGGAGAAAAGAAACTAACATGAACTAAAATATAAGAGCCTCACAACCACCTTGTAGGGCAAATATTACTGCCCCTATTTTATAAGTACAGAAACTGATGTTCAAAGATATTAAGATCAAACAGCTAATAAACAGCTTAACTATGATTTTAACCCAAGTCTGTTTTAACTTTATTAATGTTTTTTGTTTCAACTACATTAGTTCCCCTCCACTTGCCCATGGAGAGTACATTCCCAAGACATCTGAAACCACAGATATTACTGAACCTTTACATACACACATGCATAGTGTGCATGTACTTACACACACATGCACACTATGTCGTTTCCTATACATACATACCTATGATAAACTTTAATTGATAAATTAGGTACAGTAAAAGATTAACACAACTAATAAAATAGAACAATTATAACAACAAACTGTAATAAAAGTTAAGTGAACGTGGTCTCTCTCTCAAAATTTCTTATTCTACCGTACTTACCTATTTTTGGTTAACTAAAACCTTGGCAAGCAAAACCACAGATGGCAGGAAACTAACATATACTATAACACACTACTTTCTGGACATCTCTCTTTCCTCCCTTCCAATCAATGAGTTACACTGCTACAAAAGTTATCTACATATAAAATAAGATCTAATCATGTTATTCCTCTACTTTTACCAAAGTATGGGGATCAAGTGAATTCAAGTAGGAGTATCAATTTAAGTAGGGGTGAACTGATAATTATGTCCCTCTGAATTTTTTTTTAAATACAGACAAGGTCTTGCAATGGGGCCCATGCTGGATTCAAACTCCTGGAATCAGAATCCTTGGGCTCAAATGATCTTCCCACCTCAGCCTTCCAAGTAGCTGAAACTATTAGGCACCTACCACTGTGTCCCACTGGAATTTTTTTTTTAAAAAAACACACTGGCATTAAAAAAGGAGGGGGAAGCCAGGTGTGGTGGCTCATGCCTACAATCCTTGCACTATGAAAGGCCAAGGTGGGAGGATCACTTGAGCTTAGAAGTTAGAGATCAGACTGAGCAAGACCCCATCTCTACTAAAAATAGAAAAAATTAGCCGGGCCTGGTAGTGTCTGCCTGTAATCCCAGCTACTCTGGGCTGAGGCGGGAGGATCACCTGAGCCCAGGAGTCTGAGGTTGCTGTGAGCAAGGCTGAAACCACAACACTCTAGCCTGGGCAACAGAGCAAATTCATTCATTCTCATTCTCTCTCTCTCTCTCTCTCTCTCTCTCTCTCTCTCTCTCTCTATATATATATATATATATATATAAAATTTAAAAATTAAAAAGGAAAGGGGTAGGGGGACAGATGAAGCAAATATGGTAAAATTTCATCACTGCTGAATCTGAGTTGGAGTTCCTTGTACTATTTATCTTTACTTTTGTATATATTTGACATTTTTTATAATAAATAAAATTTTTAAAAATCTGCTTCCCAGTGTTAAGAGGATAATTACAAACAGAGCTTTAGTCACAATTTGACACCAACTGACCACTATGCCCATGCTCTATAGCCACTGAACACATCTCCTCAAGTATACCAGACTCTTAATAAACCTAGGTTAAGGGTATATGAGTGTTACATTAGTCTTATAATTCTGAGATTTGAACTTTTCCAAAAGAAAAAAAAAATGGCTGATGGAAAAAATTTTAATACAGACACCAATGTCTGCAAATGAACAATACATAGTTTATAAAGGAATAATGACAAAGTAAAAACATTCTCCTACTACAGCTATGTAGCATACTTACCCAAGTACAGTGCCAGTTTCCTGGTAATTTACTTGAATAAACTTGCCAAAACGACTTGAATTGTTATTATGAGCTGTCTTTGCATTTCCAAAGGCCTGTCAAAATAAACAATTCTCATTAGTTTTATTAAAATTTTTTTTTCCTGGAAAATGCTGCTTCAGTCAGCTCAAATAGACAAAATTCTACAGAGATAATAGAAAGGCAATTCACTTGTATGTTCAGACTCATAGTTCAGGTAAAATAAAAGAAACCAATTAACAACTGAAAGAAAACCAAGTAGATTTTATTTTATGCTATTCAGTAAAATAATTTTTTTTAAATTACTTTTTTAATACTTTTATTTTGGAGACAGGGTCTTGCTCTTTCTGTAGCCCATGCTGGAGTGCAATGGAATGATTATAACTCACTGCAGCCTTGAACACCAGGGCTCAAGCACCCTCCTGCCTCGGCCTCCCCAGTGGCAAGGACTACAGGTGGGCATCACCATATCCAGTTAATTTTTTAAATTATTTCTAGAGATAGGGTTTCAGTATGTGGCCCAGGCTAGTCTTTTCTTTTCTTTTTTTTTTTTTTTTTTTTGAGATAGTCTCGCTTTGTTGCCCAGGCTGGCGTCAGCCTAGCTCACAGCAACCTCAAACTCCTGGGCTCAAGTGATCCTACTGCCTCAGCCCCCGAGTAGCTGGGACTACAGCCATGCGCCACCATGCCCGGCTAATTTTTTCTATATACATTAGTTGGCCAATTAATTTCTTTCTATTTATAATAGAGATGGGGTCTCGCTCTTGCTCAGGCTGGTTTTGAACTCCTAACCTCCAGCAATCCACCTGCCTTGGCCTCCCAGAGTACTAGGATTATAGGCATGAGCCACCACACCCGGCCCCCAGGCTAGTCTTGAACTCCTGGCCTCAGATTCTCCCACCTAGGCTTCCCAAAGCGCTGGGATTACAGGCCTGAGCCAGGCATCCAGCCATCAGCCAAATAAATCTTAATTTTAAAAACTTCATGCTCATTAAAATTCAGATTTCTCCTTCACATTCCAGAGCCAAAAAATTTTCTTAATATATTTATATTTTTTAAAAATCCTGCTAAACTGAAACAAGGGCTAGGAAAAGAAAAATTACATCAAAATAATTACAATTTTAGAATAGTATAAATGAACTGAAGTTCTATTACATAATATACTATACTTTATTGTGCCTATTTATTAATAAAACAAAGCTATAGTACTCATTACAAAAGAATATGAACTATAAGCTTCCTAAATTGCTACCCAAAGTATATACCTTGCAATGGAATACTGTCTAGCAATAAAAATGACCTAATGATAAAAACATCAGCATTGATGAATATCAAACACACTAAGCACAAGAAATTAGCAGGCCAGAGGTTGTCTGGGAATTGGGGGGGATTAAGAGATGTCTACATAGGGGGACAAGGGGTGATGAGATATTCTATACCTTGACTGTATGATGGTGCTTAACATGGGTATATACATTTATAAAAACTCATTGCACTACACATTTAAAATGTGTACATTTTATTGTAAGTTATATCTCAATACAATGCTTTAAATTTATTAAAATTTAAATTTAAAAAAAACCAAAGCCACTGGCCTAGCCTAACCCATTCGCATATGTGAAGAAACAAAACTAGAAGTGACAGAGTTAGAGATGATTCACGGGAGAGCTTTTGCTTTTTTTCCCTACTATAATGATCTCATGAGAATGGCATGCTCTCTAACTCCAAAAACCTAAAGCAGTCATTTGTAGAACACCTCCTAAATGCAAAGCTATATATTCTAAACTGTAACTGTGCAAAGTGCACATATAAGGACACACACACATACAAGACAGGCTGAAGAGGTAAACTAAGTTGATGCCCCAAAAACTATATCTCTACTCCAGTAGTTCTCAAAGTGTAGTCCCAGGACCAGAAGCATTAGCATCACCTGAAAATTTGTAAGAAATACAAATTCTTAAATCCTTTACAAAACTACTGAATGAGAAACTCTGAGGATAAGGTCCAGCAATCTGTTTTGATAACCCCTTCAAATGGTTCGGATGCAAGCTAAAGTTTGACACCCACTGCTCTTATTATGGATGCAGTTAAATTTCTGTGAAATTACATTTTATTGAGTATTAAATTATTCTATAGTGATAGTAGCAAACATATAGGTTCATGAAAATCTCTAGAAATATCCCTTATGAATGTTTAGATTCCACTGTACCTAAGTAAAGGACCAGAAAAGCCCAGGCTCTCAACCACCACCAAACCACCTACAAGCTATATATACACAAAAAAGCTTCGCAACTGTGAGTTTTGAATGCCCAGAATAGTTTCTCCATTCTGCCCTTTCCATCATATCAAGTTTTTTCCAAGGAAATTAGAAAAATCACATACCACAGATGCATAAAATGTAAAAGGTTGATTTCATCAAAGAAATATTCATTTAAATGTCAAATGCTTTATATTTTGACAAAATTTGTTTTAAAAAAAAGAAAGACTTAGAGATATGAAATATGGATATACAACGTACTACTTCTACTCTCATAATTTGCCACTTTTGATCCTACCCAACGTTACAATGTCAACAGCCAATCAGAGGCTTTCCTTCTACTTAACCTTTGGAATAAAATTCTATCATTACGAAAAATCATCTGGGGCCATTATGAGAGAAAGCCTTGCAACAGACAATTCACCAAAGAGGTTATATGGATGGCAAATAAGCATGAGAAAGTATTTCAACATCATCAGCTACTAAAAAAATTCAGTTAAGATCACAATGAGATACCACTAAATACTAATTAGAATGGCTAAAAGAAAAATTAACAACGCCAAGTGCTGCTGAGGTTACAGAAAAACTGGAATGCAAAACAGTACAGCAACTCTGGAAGACAATCTGATAAAAATACTGATTAAATACTGACAATCTGATTAAAAATACTCTTACCATATGACCCAGCAGTCCTACTCCTGAAGTGTTTATAGAGAAATGCAAATTTATGTATACACAAACATCTAGGCACAACTGTCATTATCAACTTTACTTGTGACAGCAAAAGCTTGGAAATAACCAAAATATCCATCAACAAATGAAGGCTTTAACAAACTGTGATACATCCATAGAATACAATACTACTCAGCAGTAAAAATAAACAACCAGTTACTATATGTAATGATCTGGATGAATCTAAAAGAAATAATGTTGAATAAGAGAAGTCAGTTTCAAAACTTTGCATATTATATGATTCCATTTATATGTCACTCTCAAAGACAAAAATCAGCAGCAATGCAGAGCAGACAAGTAGCTGCCATGAGTTATGGGAGAATAGCAGAGCACAAGGCATGAATATAAGAAATAAGAGGTAGTTTTCTGGAGTAGTGAAACTATACTGTATCCAGATTGCACATAGATGGTTATACAAATCAACACATTTTAAAATGCACAGAATTTTACTGTAAAATTATTTCTTTAAAAAAAAAACTTTTAGGCCGGGCACGGTGGCTCACGCCTGTAATCCTAGCACTCTGGGAGGCCGAGGCGGGCGGATTGCTCGAGGTCAGGAGTTTGAAACCAGCCTGAGCAAGAGTGAGACCCTGTCTCTACTATAAATACAAAGAAATTAATTGGCCAACTAATATATATATAGAAAAAAATAGCCAGGCATGGTGGTGCATGCCTGTAGTCCCAGCTACTTGGGAGGCTGAGGCAGCAGGATTGCTTGAGCTCAGGAGTGTGAGGTTGCTGTGAGTTAGGCTGACACCATGGCACTCACTCTAGCCTGGGCAACAAAGCGAGACTCTGTCTCAAAAAAAAAAAAAAACTTTTAAAACTCCTGAAAAACAGCAATTCATTAAAGAATGAAGGCAAAAAAACCCCACAATTTCAGACATACAAATCTTCATGATGAAAATATTCATCACAAGCCAACCTGCACCAAAAGAAACATTAAAGGAAGTCCTTCAAGCAGATGGAAAATGATATATTAAAATGTGAACCTACATAAGAATGAAGAACAGCAGAATGGCTACCACATGAGTAAACATACAAAATATTTTTTATTAATTAAATCTCTTTATCATTGAGAGTGAGGTTAGCAAACATGGCAGAGTAAGAACCTCTGAAAATCCTCTCCTTAAAAAAACAAGAATGCTAACAAAAAATGTCAAAGTCAATTTTTTAAGAACTCTGGAAATTAACCCAAGACTTGCAAGAATTCTTGGTAGGAGGGCATTTAATCAAGGAAAACCATTGAGTCTTGGTAAGAAAAACAGATATTTTAGCTAGCCCCACTCTCTAGCTCCACACTGATGAGAAAAATCAACATCCTACAGTGATGGGGGTTTTTTTGTAAAAGCATCCCAGAAACCATTGGAAAGATCAGAATAGGGTCAGGCTATTCCAAAGCCCTGTTCCCCCAGAGAATCATCACTATTTGACTTATCTGGCATTTCCCTGGAAAATTCACCCAAAGGATTGTCTTAATTTAAACTTACTCAGAAATCACTCACTGAGCCTCTACACACACACACACACACACACACACACACACACACACACCTGCCAACCATGTGTGTTTGTGAAAAACAATCAGAGGCAATTGTTTGAAACACTGCAACTGTGGCAATAACATGGTGAGGCTAAAAAACAAAAAAACAAGCCAAGGAGAAAACTTAAAAGCATGTATGAAGGGGCTTTGAAAAGATCTGAAATATTTCTGGGCATGTCAAAGACCATCTGCATGCATAGCAAAGATCAGAGACTTACGTTTGAACTCTATGTAAGCAGGAAGTAAAAGGAAAGGCAGAGATGAAAACTACCTTCCTGAGTGCTGAAAAGGTATCCCAAAAAGCACACAGAACCTTATAGGAAAGACGGGGGGCTGTAATGCTTCAAGGCATTTAAAAAACTCCACATCCAATCATAGCTTTCTCACTAAGAAAACTGAATGAAGTTTTTAATGGTCTCATGCAATTTCATAGCCTCACAGATAAAAAGAATACAGACCTTACAGAATTAGTTCAGAGAAATCATGAAACAACCAAATAGCAGTAACAAAAACAATAATCACAAAGTCTGGCAAAATCTCATTTCCAGAGGTGTCACATTATTACCTATTACAAATATCTAGTTTTTATCAAAAAATTAAGAGATATGCAAAGAAGTAATAAATTATGAGCACAGGAAAATTTAAAAAACAGCAATACATAGAAACTGTCCCTGACAAAGCCCAGATGTTGGATTTATTAAGCAAGAACCTTATATCAGCTATTTTAAATATTTTCAAACAACTAAATTATGACGCAAATGCCTTAAAAATAGAGAATATCAATAAAATGGTAGAAATTATAAAAATTATAAAAATTCAAGTGTTTAAAAGTATATTAGGCCAGGCGTGGTGGCTCACGGCTGTAATCCTAGCACTCTGGGAGGCCGAGGCGGGCGGATTGCTCGAGGTCAGGAGTTTGAAACCAGCCTGAGCAAGAGCGAGACCCCATCTCTACTATAAATAGAAAGAAATTAATTGGCCAACTAATATATATAGAAAAAATTAGCCGGGCATGGTGGTGCATGCCTGTAGTCCCAGCTACTCGGGAGGCTGAGGCAGAAGGATCGCTTGAGCCCAGGAGTTTGAGGTTGCTGTGAGCTAGGCTGATGCCACGGCACTCACTCTAGCCTGGGCAACAAAGCGAGACTCTGTCTCAAAAAAAAAAAAAAAAAAAGTATATTAACTAAAAAGAAAAATTCATTAAAGGGGCTTACGTGAAGTCATAAGCAAGTAGAAGAATCAGCAATGGATCAAAGAGGATATCATAAGGAAAATTAGAAAATAGTTTGAGAAGAATGAAAGCAAAAACACTACATACCAACATTTATGGCACACAGATAATGCAGTGCTTAGAGGTAACTTTATAGTTGTAAAAGTCTATATTAAAAAAGAAGGTACACTGAGATTTGTGTAAAAAAAAAAAAAAAAAAAAAGAAGAAATATACAAAGAACTCAACAGCAAACAAAGAAATTGTCCCATAATAAGTAGGCAAAGGATCTAAATAGATACTTCTCAAAAGACGACATACAAATGGTCGACAATGAAAAACTGCTCAACATCACTAATCATCGGGGAATGCAATCCAAAATCACAATGAATTATCATTCTACTCCAGTTAGAATGGCTATTAAAAAGACAAGAAATAACAAATATTAGCAAGGATGTAAAGAAAAGGGAACTCATACACACTGTTTGCGTAAGTGCAGTTCTAAAATAGTACTACCACATGATCCGGCAATCCCACTAGTGAGTATTTATCCAAAGGAAAAGAAATCAGTATATCAAAGGGATAACAGGCACCCTCATGTTTATTGCAGCACTATTCATAATAGCCAAACTATGGAATCAACCTAAGTGTCCATCAACAGATGAATGGATAAAGAAAATGTGGTGTATCTACAAAATGGAATACTGTTTGGCCATAAAAAAGAATAAAAGACAGTCATTTACAGCAACATGGATGGAACTGCAGGTGATTATGTTAAGTAAAATAAGTCAGGCACAGAAAGACAAATATCACATGTTCTCACTCATATGTGGAAGCCAAAAAAGTTGATCTCACGGAGGTAGAGAATAGAGTGACAGTTACCAGAGGCTGGGGTGGAGAGTGAAGAGAGGTTGGTTAATGGGTACAAACATACAGTTAGACAGAAGAAATAAGTTCTAGTGTTGGATAGCATAGTAAGGTGAGTATAGCTAACAATAATTCATTATATATTTTAAAATACGTAGAAGAGTTGAAATGTTCCCAATACAGAGAAATGATAACTGTTTGAGGTGATGGATATCCTAAATACTCTGATTTGATAATTATACATTGTATGCATGTGTCAAAATATCACATGTATCACCCCCAAATATGTAAAATTATCATGTATCAATTTCTAAGTGTTTTAAAGATTTCAAATCAATAAACTAACCTGCCACCTTAAGAAAACAGAAAAGAAAAAGCAAACAAATGTGAAAGCAATCAGAAGGAAAGAAACAATAATAATCAGAGGGGGAAATAAATAAAATAATAAAGAAAATTAAAAACCCAAACATTGGTTCTTCAAAAATATCAACAAATTGGCAAAACTTTAGGTACACAGACCAAAAAAGAGAGAGAGAAAAAAAAGACTCAAATTACTAAATTCAGGAATGAAAAAAATAAATATAGTACAAAATATTGAAAGACTAAAGGACAAAAACCACATGGTCATCTTAATAGATGCAGAAAAGGCATTTGACAAAAGCAAAACCCTTTTATGATAAAAAATACTCAACAAACTATGAAGAATAGGGAACTTAACCTGATCAAGGACATCTATTAAAATTATAAGCTAACAACATACTTAATGGTGAAAGAAAAAAAGCTTTCTCTCTGTAATCAGAAAGAAGACATGGATGGCTGCTCTTGCCATTTCTATTGAAGACTGTACTTGAGTTTCTAGCCAAGGCAATTAGGAAATAAAAAGAAAAAAAAAAGGAATCCAGATGAAAGGAAGAAGTAAAACTATTTCAATTCACAGATGACATATATATATTCTCTTGTATAGAGAATAGACAATGCTAAGAAATATATTTAAAAATATTAAAACAGAAGCCCCCGGTGAGACTCTACCGCCACCACCACCACGTCAGTAACACAAACCTAGAGTCTAGGACTCGAGTCCACCTGGTCCTCACTGCCTGCCAGCCGGCCCACGCCCCACCACAGCCATGGACACCATCAAGAAGAAGATGCAAATGCTAAAGTTGGACAAGGAGAATGCCACTGACCGTGCTGAGCAGGCCGAAGCAGACAAGAAGCAAGTTGAGGACCGCTGCAAGCAGCTGAAAGAGGAGCAGCAGGGCCTCCAGAAGAAGCTGAAGGGGACAGAGGATGAGGTGGAAAAGTATTCTGAATCCGTGAAGGATGCCCAGGAGAAACTGGAGCAAGCCGAGAAGAAGGCAACTGACGCTGAGGCATATGTGGCCTCCCTGAACCGCCGCATTCAGCTGGTAGAGGAGGAGCTGGACCGGGCACAGGAGCGCCTGGCCACTGGCCTGCAGAAGCTGGAGGAGCCTGAGAAGGCAGCTGATGAGAGCGAGAGAGGAATGAAGGTCATTAAGAACCGGGCTATGTCCTCGTTAGTATAGTGGTGAACAAAAATAAAAAAAAAAATAAAAAAAAAAAAAAAAGAACCGGGCTATGAAGGATGAGGAAAAGATGGAGCTGCAGGAGATGCAGCTGAAGGAGGCCAAGCACATCACCGAGGATTCAGATCGCAAATAAGAGGAGGTGGCCAGGAAGCTGGTGATCCTGGAGGGAGAGCTGGAGTGCTCAGAAGAGAGAGCTGAGGTGGCCGAGAGCCGAGCAAGGCAATTGGAGGAGGAACTTCGAACCATGGACCAGGCCCTCAAGTCTCTGATGGCCTCAGAGGAGGAGTATTCCACCAAAGAGGATAAATATAAAGAGGAGATCAAACTGCTGGAGAAGCTGAAGGAGGCTGAGACCCGAGCAGAGTTTGCTGAAAGGTCTGTGGCAAAGCTGGAGAAAACCACTGATGATCTAGAAGAGACCTTGGCCAGTGCCAAGGAGGAGAACGTGGAGATTCACCAGACTCTAGACCAGACCCTGCTGGAACTCAACAACCTGTGAGGGCCACCCTGCCCCGCCAGGCTACAGTGGCTACCCCAGCCCAATAAAACTGATGGTATCAGCAAAAAAAAAAAAAAAAAAATTAAAACAAATAAACTTAACAAGTTGAAGGAGACAATAGCAATACACAAAACTTAATTATTTATCTACTAGTAATAATCAGAAAATTAAACTAAGGAAAATAATGCTATACACAGTAGAATCAAGAATAATAAAATACATTGGGAAGAACTTAACAAAATGTGTTAAGATGTGTATACTGAAAATTTTAAAATATTGTTTTAAAATATTATTTTAAAAACTTAAAAAGACCTAAATGAATGAAAAGACAGCTGTGCTCATGAGTTAGAAAACTTAATATTGTTAAGATCTATAAATTCAATACAATATCTATCAAGCCTTAAAAGACTTTTGAAGAAATGAATGAGTTAATCCTAAAATAAATATGGAAATTTACCAAAATAAGTGAGGACTGAAAATACCCAAAACAATCTTGAGGAAAGAAATTTGGAAAATTCACAGTTTTTTGGTTGTTTTGTTTTGTTTTGAGACAGGGTCTTGCTCTGGTGCCCAGGCTAGAGTGCTGTGGTATCAGGGTAGCTCACAGCAACCTTAAACTCCTGGGCTAAGCAATCCTCCTGCCTCAGCCTCCCAAGTAGCTGGGACTACAGGAACACCACCACACCCAGCTAATTTTTTCTATTTTTAGTAAAGACAGGGTCTCACTATTGCTCAGGCTGGTCTCGAATTCCTGAGCTCAAGCAATCCTCCCACCTTGGTCTCCCAGAGTGCTAGGATTCCAGGTGTAAGCCACCACTGTTTACGCTTCTTGATTTCAAAACTTACTATGAGGCTACAATCAAGACCATATGGTACTGGCATACAGACAAACATAAATAATAATGGATTAGAACTGAGGTTCAGAAATAAACTCTCACATTTATAGTCAACTTATTTTCGACAAGGGTGACAAGAAAATTCAATGGGGATAAAATAGTCTTTTCAAAATATGGATATACACATGCAAAAGAGTAGTATTGTTGTGGTTATTATTATTATTACCATATATGCATTATTCATCAGGGATCCAAGTTACGTAATAATCCATCCTAAAAACATTCTCAGGAACCTATCTCATCCATAACCCAGGGACCACCTGTATACATGTCAAAAATGTATCACATTGCATACTTTAAATAATGTGCAGTTCACTGTATCTCAATTATACCTCACAATATCTCTTAAGAAATAAAAAACTGAGTAATATTACCTTTTCCTTTCCAGACTTAAGTGTATTCTCTTTCTTTTTTTTTAATTGACAAGTAAAAATTGCATTATTTATTGTGTACAACATGATGTTTTCACGTATGTATATACCATGGAATGGCTAAATTAAGCTATTTAACACATGCATTACCTCATATACCTATCTTTTTTTAATAAGAACACTTAAAATTGACACTCAGAAATTTTCAAGTATACAATATATTATTAACTATAGTCATCATGATATACAACAGATCTCTTGACATTATTCCTCCTGTATAACTAAAAATTTATGTCATTTGACCAATATCTCTCTAATCTCACCACCCTCCAGTCTTTGGTTACCACTATTTGACCCTCTTTTTTTCAAGACTAGTCAAGTGCAGTAGTAAGAAGGGGGAAAGTAGTAGAACAAGGAATTCAATCTGTAACTGCCTTGAACAATCAAGTGAGGTAACTCACTACCTTCAGTACTCTCTGTTTCCATGCATTCAACTTTTTTAGATTCTACATATAAGTGAGATCATGTGGTATTAGTCTTTCTGTATTTCTTTCGACATCTGATAGTTTTACTTATAAAATATCCCATCCCACAACTAAACATGTTTTTCCCATATACTCCACATTTTTACAAACGAAGCCTTAAGAGTTTCAATGCCAGGCACAGATGTTAAGGTACAGAGATACAAATAGAATGGAAAGAATATTTTCAACAACCACCTACTTCTACAACTCAATTACAAACAAGACTCCTTCCCCTGCTTTCTCCCTTTATAGGGTGATATATGACTCTAGTAATCTTTTTCTTTGCATCATCAATGACCCAAAGACACTCTAAAAAAAAAAAAAATTCCCACTGTCACACCCTTCTATCTTCCATACTGCCATTTTTGCTTTTCCATCTTTTAGTTCCCCTTGGTAACCAAAAACAATGTCTACATTTCTATTTAGTTTTATCTTATCTTCTCATATCTACCAAGAATTTTTTAAAAATATGTTTAAGAAGCTGGGCATAGGGACTCACACCTGTAATACTAGCACTCTGGGAGGCCAAGGTGGGAGGATTGCTTGAGCTCAGGAGTTCGAGACCAGCCTGTGCAAGAACAAGACCCCATCTCTACAAAAAATAGAAAAATTAATTGAGCATGGTGGTGCACACCTATAGTCCCAGCTACTTGGGAGGCAGAGGTTAAGAGAATCGCTTGAGCCCAGGAGCTGGAGGTTACAGTGAGCAATGATGACACTACCGTGTTTCCCCCAAAATAAGACCTACCCATTAAATAAGCCCTAGCAGTATTTCTAAGCATTTGCTCAATATAAGTCCTACCCAGAAAATAAAACCTAGGGATGGACGTGACTACCCAGCATATCTGCACAACCCATGCATTTCATCGCTGAGTGGTAAAGAAGACGAGAGATTGGGGCCAATGGTTCTAAAGGAAATAGAGTCGCAAGAAATTTAGGATGGAATTCAGGGTTTGGAGAGTTATGATGATGTTCCAGAAGAAGACGACTTAACTATATTTGAATAAATGTAGATTGCTGTACCATACTTAAAAAAATAACATATCCCCTGAAAACAAACCCTAGGGTGTCTTCTTGAGGAAAAATAAATATAAGACCCTGTCTTATTTTCGGGGAAACAGAGTACTGCACTCTAGCTGAGGCGACAGAGCAAGATTCTGTCTCAAAAAAAATAAGAAAAGTGACAGACAAGGTGGCAAGCACCTGGAGGATAAGGAGGGAGGATCACTTGGAGTCCAGGAATCAGAGACCAGCCTGGGCAACAAAGCAAGACCTGTCTCAGAAAAAAGAATAAGAAAAATATTTCTATACACTTACCTCAAGTACTGGTCCAGCTCCAAGAATAATCTGTTCTACTCCACTGGCAAATCCTTTCTGACTGAGAGCAGTAAGGTGGTGAATAAGAAAGTTTGTGCTTTGAGTTTTCCCAGAACCACTCTCTCCTGAAATCACAATGCACTGATTCTTTTTACGCTGAAGCATGGCATGATAAGCTACATCAGCCACAGCATAAATATGGGGCTCAAGTTTTCCCAATTGGTGGTTATCATACATTTTGACATATTTGGGGTTATAAATAGGAAGAAACTTGAATGGGTTAATAACTATTAGAATACTGCCAACATAAGTATAAATTTTTTCATGCTTAAAGCGATTTCGTAGGTTTTCTAAGAGAGTTTTCTCATTCAAATCAGGCAAGCTACATAAATCATCAAAGTCTTTCTGTTGTGGCTGTGGAAGAAAACCCCGTTCCATCATCCTGCGACGTTCTTCCGTTACCCGTAGCCATGACTGAAGGTTACCATAATGGATTGATCCATCAAGGTTTTTTTCTCTCAGAAGAAAGCGGTAGTCTTCTCCACTCAAGCGATTTTCCAGAGCCATTCGTGGCCATAACATCATTCGCTGAACTGGACAGTCTGTTGGATTGAGTATCCATTCTTCTCCACCAAATTCCTTTACCTCTGCTAGAACGTAACATTTTGTTTTGTCAAGATGAAGCCTGTTTATAAGAGAGTCAATCACCTCAGCAGCTGTGGAGTTTTTCCTGGCAGGAATTGGACAGTAAATCGTTCCTTCTGAAATTGTCCCAGGATATATACGTAATGTATGTTCATTATCCTCAAAGCGTCGTCTTCCTACATCACTTATATTCATATTGGATCCTGTCCCATCAGCATGGATAGTACATGTTCAAGATCGTGCAAATCATTTTTTTTGGCAAAAGAACTGTAACATAAAAGTTGTGAAACATTTAGAAGTAATATTACACATTGCTTTCTGATGCTCAAGAAACAAAAGACTTAACAAACATATTGATTGCATCTTTTAGAACACATAATCCTAACTCTTAGTACAGAGACAATCTTGAAAACAGACTCATTGAGACAACATAATATTAAGGTTCATTGTTCAAATCTGAGCACTTTCCAAAATACCAACAAATCAAAAATATGTATTTTAATGTTTTATTATATTAACAATTCAAAATCCAAAGAATACAGACAAGAGTTTTTTCACCTGCTACCTCGAATGTTCCTAAAGTACTTGGGATTAAAAACAAGTTCTTTCTTTATACTTGACAAGCTTCGCTCAAGAATGGATTAAGATAGAATAATAATTGGGACACAACATGTTGTCTTAAAAAAAAAAAAAAAGAAAAAAAAAATAAGATAGAATAATAACACAAATCTAATCACCTTGTACCCAAACTCTCTTCAAGGAAAATGCAAAAACAAGAAAGAATGTCTTCACTCTGACGTATAACCATAAAGAAAAAATAAATAAATAAATAAATAAAAAAAAGAAAAAAAGAAAGAATGTCAGCAATGCAACAAAAGTTTTATAAAATTCATTAAAAACAGTTAAGAAGATGAGATAAACAAATTAAACCAACTAAAGTTAAAATCAAGAAAATAATGAGAGATATCTGCTATAGAAATAATAAATAAGACATATTAAAGGAATTCTGGTCTCTGACTTTCCTCCTGCAAAGTGGGGAGAAGACAAGGGTTTGACAAAACCAACAAAAAGATGCTGCCCATGACGTGCTGAGCAAATTTGACAAAATTATACACCTAGGCACCATTACAAATTTTATTCAGCCTCCCTTTGTCCTTCAATGCTACTATTCTACCTTTTCTCTTTTTCCTTTTAATTTTTTATTTATAATAATTATGGGTATATAATAGTTGCATATAATAATGGGGTACATGTGATGCTTTAATATACACAATGTGTGATGATCGACTCAGGATATCTGAACATGCCAATTCCAGTCTTTCAGTTATTTTAAAATATACAATAAGTTACTGTTATAAACAGTCATCCTATGTGCTACCAAATACTAGATCCTATTCATTCTACCTAACTATATTTTTGTACCCATTAGCCATCACCACTCTATTCCCCTTCCCAACTACTGTTCCTAGTCTCTGGTAACAATCAATCTACTCTCTATCTCCCTAAGTTCAATTTTTTAATTTTTTAGCTCCTACACATATAAGTGAGAACATACAATAATTGTCTTTTTGTGTTTGGCTTATTCACTTAAGATAAAGACCTCCAGTTTTATCCACGTTGCTGCAACAACATGATTTCATTCTTTTTTATGGCCAAATGGTATTCCATTGTGTATATGTGTCACATTTTCTTTATCCATTCATCCATTGATAGACACTTAGGTTGATTCCACATCTTGGCTATTGTAAATAGTTCTGCAATAAACATGGGGCTGCAGATCATCACTTCAATATATTAATTTCCTTTCTTTTGGATATATACCCAGCAGTGGAATGGATAGATCACATGGTAGTTCAAGTTTTAGTTTTTGAAGAACTCCATACTATTCTCCATAGTGACTGTACTAATTTACATTCCTACCAACATTCCTCATCCTGGCCAGCATTTGTTACTGCCTGCCTTTTGGGTAAAAGTCATTTTATCTGGGATGAGATGACATCTCATACTTTTGATCTGCATTTCTCTCCATATATAAAAACCAACTCAAAATAGATTAAAGGCCAGGCATGATGGTCACACCTGTAATCCTAGCACTCTGGGAGGCCGAGACAGAAGGACTGTGTGAGCTCAGAAGTTCAAGACCAGCGTGAGCAAGAGTGAGGCCCTCTCTACTAAAAACAGAAAAAATTAGCCAGGTATCTTGGCACACACCTGTAGTCCCAGCTACTTGGGACATCAAGGCAGGAGGATCACTTGAGCCCAGGAGTTTGAGGTTGCAAATGATCTACAATGACATCACTGCACTCCACCCAGGGCAACAGAGTGAGACTATCTCAAAAAAAAAAAAAAAGGATTAAAAAGAGTTAAATCTAAGACCTGAAACTACGAAAATCACTAAAAGAAAACATTAAAACAACAGGGCAGGTAACCAAAATAAAAATGGACAAATGGGATCACATCAAGCTAAAAAACTTCTGCACAGCAAAGGAAACAATCAACAAAATAAAGAGACAACCAACAGAATGGGAGAAAATATTTACAAACTATCCGTCTGACAAAGGATTAATAACCAGAATACCTAAGGAACTCAAACAACTCAATAGGGAAAAATCAAATAATCTGATTTAAAAATGGGCAAAAGGTCTGAATAGATATTTCTCAAAAAAAAAAGAAACCCACACAGAAATAGTCAAAAGGTATATGAAAAAATGCTCAACATCACTAACCAGAGAAATATTCTTTTTAATATAGCCATATTCTATTCCTTGTAAGTATTCTGCATATCCTTTCAATCTTCTCAAAACTCCACAGCATTTCACACTTCTAGAAGAATGATTTCAACTTTTACACCCGAGAAAATATTGATTTTCTTCAAATGGTTTCTCTAATTCAAAATTTATTCCCATTGTCATCTCATCTCTATTCTTCCACTCCTGCCTACAGAGAAAATACATCCCACATCCTTTGCAGGGCTAATGAAACCTATTTCTTATCCTCCTCATGAATAATTTGGCCCATCAAAATATACTCTCCTGTGTTATCAATCTTTCTCTTTTTACTTATTTCATCCTTTAACATATAAAGATATTATCAAAAAAAATGAAAAATACCTTCAGTTACTTCCCTATCATACTACCACATATTATTATCCAAGTCCTCTTATCAAGAAACTAGTTTTTTTACCTTGTTCCTAGATGATCTTTCAAACACACAGATTATAGAACATATAAAAATCAGCATATATCACGCCTGTAATCCTAGCACTCTGGGAGGCCAAGGCGGGCGGATTGCTTGAGGTCAGGAGTTCGAAACTAGCCTGAGCAAGAGCGAGACCCCGTCTCTACTATAAATAGAAAGAAATTAATTGGCCAACTAATATATATATATATATATATAATTAGCCGGGCATGGTGGCGTATGCCTGTAGTCCCCAGCTACTTGGGAGGCTGAGGCAGGAGGATCACTTGAGCCCAGGAGTTTGAGGTTGCTGTGAGCTAGGCTGACGCCATGGCACTCTCTCTAGCCTAGGCAACAAAGTGAGACTCTGTCTTAAAAAAAAAAAATCAGCATATATTAAAAAGAGAAGGCAGGGCGCAGAGGCCCACACCTGTAATCCTAGCACTCTGGGAGGCCCAGGGAGGAGGATCGCTCAAGGTCAGGAGTTCAAAACCAGTCTGAGCAAGAGCGAGATCCCGTCTCTACTAAAAATAGAAAGAAATTAATTAGCCGACTAAAAATATATAGAAAAAATTTGCAGGCATGGTGGCACATGCCTGTAGTCCCAGCTACTTGGGAGGCTGAGGCAGTAGGATCACTTGAGCCCAGGAGTTTGAGGTTGCTGCGAGCTAGGTTGACGCCACTGCACTCTAGCCCAGGCAACAGAGTGAGACTGTGACTCAAAGAAACAAAACAAACAAAAAAAACCCCACATGTTGGCGAAGATGAACTCTTGTACACTGTTGGTGGGAATGTAAATTAGTGTAACCACTATGGAAAACAAAATGGAGATTTCTCAAAGAACTAAAAATAGAACTACCAGCGATCCCATTACTGGGTATCCATCCAAAGTAAACGAATACCTGCACTCATATGTTTATCACAGCACTATTCACAATAGCAAAGGTATGGAATCAACCTAAATGTCCATAAACAGAGGACTGGATAAAGAAAATGTGGTATACGCAATGGAATCCTACTCAGCCATAAAAAGAATGAAACCATGTCTTTTGCATGGTCATGTCTTCTACATGAATGGAGCTGGAGGCCATGATCTTAAGTGAAACTTCTAAGACACAAAAAGACAAATATCTCATGTTATCACTCATAAGTGAAAGCTAAATAACAGGTATACATGGAAGCAAAGTGTGGAATGATAGACAATGGAGACTAGAGAGGTGGGTAGATGATGGGAGGTGGCTTGGTGGGTACAATGTGCATTGCTACAGTGATGGAGGAACTGAAGGCCTTGACTACACCACAATGCAATATATCAGTGTAGGAAAATTGCATTTGTACCCTATGAGTATATAAAAATTTTTAAAATTTAAAAATAAAGAGTAAGCCTGGTGTGGTGGCTCACGCCTGTAATCCTAACACTCTGGGAGGCCAAGGCAGGAAAATCGTTTGAAGTCAGGAGGTCAAGAAAGAGCCTTCAAAACAGCAAGACCCTGCTTTTTATTAAAAATAGAAAAAAATCAGCTGGGTATGGTAGCACACAACTGTAGTCCTAGCTACTTGGGAAGCTGAGGCAGGAGGATCACTTGAGCCCAGGAGCTTGAAGTTGCATATCCCATTATATGACTCTACCACTATATAGCAATCCACTGTCCTTCTACTGAACACTAGGATGTTTCCAATATTACATTATTAGGACAATGCTGTAATTCTTGCAATTCTTTTTTTTTTTTTTTTTTTTGGAGCCAGGGTCTCCTTCTGTCATTGTGGCTAAGAGTGCAGTGGCACAATCAGAGTTCACGGCAGCCTCAAACTCCTGGGCTCAAGCAACTACTGCCTTGCCTCTCCCTCCAACCCCAAGTAGCTGGAACCACAGACATGTGCCACCATGCCCCGTAAATTTTTCTGTTTATTTGTAGAGACCTGGGTCTAACTCTTGCTCAGGCTGGTCTTGAACTTCTGGCCTCAAGCAATCCTACCATCTTGACCTCCCAGAGTGCTAGGATTACAGGCATGAGTCACCACACCCAGCTTGCAATTTTTATACATGTTTCCTCATGTGCCTTTGCTAGAATTTCCCTGGGCTTCTTATTTAGGAGTTAAATCACTAGAGTTTAGGCATCTTCAATTTTACCAAATATTATTAAGTAACAAAATACTCTCAAAAATGACTGTTCCAATTTCCTATTTCACAACCATTGTATGAGAATTCATCTTGTCTCCTTGCCAAAAGTTAGTATTGTCAGACTTGAGTTTCTGCCAATCTAGTGTTAAAAGATATCCCATTATTTTCATTTGCATTTCCCTGAGTACTAGTGAAGATGGGCAATTCTAATCCTCTAATTTGCCATTTGGGCTATGTTGCTCATTCATTTTCTTTTCTTTTTTTATAAATTATCTTATCCTTATTGGTTTATATGAGTTTTTCATATATTAATATCCTAGATATTAATCAGTTTTCAGTTGAATGTGTGGCAAGTGTCTTAACTATTTCAACTGCCTTTTGTTGTAGAGAAACTTTCATTTTTAATAGTCAAATTTATTGATCCTTTACAGTTTATGTTTTGTTTCTTAGTAAACAACATCAACAATTATATAGATTTCAGTTTCTTGAGCTAAAAGAAAAGAAACAAACAAAAAAAACAATTATAGTTAACTCTTATAACATGTTTATTTGTTTTTTTTTATAAGTACTTCACATGGATTATTTCATTTAATCTTCACAAATCCTCCCTGGAGGTTGTTTTACCACATCATCCTCATTTTACAAATGGGAAAACAAATGCAGAAAGATCATATAACTTGCCCAAAGTCATAACTAGAATGTGTTTGTAGAGTTGAGATTTGAAGCAGGTAGTCTGGCTCTAAAGTCTACATATTTTTAACTCCTGGTATAGTTTTTTAAAAATCCTTCCTTATCCTTAGGCCATAAAGTTATTATCCCACATTTTCTTCTAAAAGGCCCATGTTTTGCTTTTTTCATTTAAGTCTTTAAGCCATATAGAATTTATTTTCAATATGCTATGAAACAGGGGTCTTAACTTTTTTTACTTCTACTCAAATTAGCAACTGAACCAGCACTACACTGAATAGTCTATTCTTTCCCCATTAATGACAAAATGTCATCTTTGTCATGTAGCAAATTCCATGCACCTATTAATATGTTCTGGGCTCTGTATTCTGTTCCATAGGTTTATCTGTCCATCACTGAGCCTATCTTAATTACTACAGTTCTATAATAAATTTTGATATCTGAAGGGCATATTACCTCAGTTTGTTCTTCTTTAATGTTACCTTGGCTATTTTACTCAATTATAAGAATTTTAAGATCAGTATGTTGACTATTATGAAAAAATCCTTTCAGTATTTGACAATGCATTGATCTTACAGATTAATATTTAAAAAACCAACATCTTATTGACTCTTCCCATTCATCAACACCATGCTGTTGGATTTTCAAAATTACAATTACTGTATTTTCACTTCTAAAGTTTCTGTCATTTTCATATCTACCTGATCTTTTACTATGTATATTTCATAATTGTTTTAATTTAAGGGCTATTGCTCCCTTACTTTTCTCTTTGAAAATTCTAAATATGTAATCTAATATTTTTCAGGCTAACATTTTCATGTCATCCAGACTGAATTGCTCTTATTTTTTTTTTTTAAGTTTAGAAACAACAGAAATTTATTTCCCATAGTTCTGGAGACTGATAAGTCCAAGATCAAGGGACCTACTAATTCACTGCCTGGTGGGGGCCCATTTTTTGGCTTATGGTACGTTTTCACTGTGTCTTTACATGCTGGAAGGGCTGAATCACTCTTCTGATTATTGACTTTATTTCGTATTTTCCTTAGCATTAGATGGCTTCATATGTTTGAGAATTTAGCTTTACAGCTGCACTTTTGATGGAGATTTTTTACTTTTCATATACATACTTGAGAACCCACTGTTTCCTACTTTTTTATTAGCAAAATAACCACAATAGCATAATCATATTAAATCATTTTAAAACTAACAATTTTTGATATTAAATAATCAGTCAGTGTTCAAATTTCCCCAATTATCTCATAAGTATTTTTCTTACAGGTGATCTAACTGAATCAGGGGATTTTGCTCTGCAGTAACAGTAAGGATAGACTCTGGGGTTAACAGGTTCCTAGTTGTAGAGCTATGTTTGTTCTCCTGAATTCCTAGGTATATGGCTTCATATAAGCTATGGCCTCTGGCAGGAGAGCAGCAAAGCTACTTCTGACAGCCAGGGAAGTTGTGTTCTATACTACTCCAGGAGATGCACTGAGTAACTACAATCCAATCCCTAAAGTTGTATAATATGGCAGCCCAAGAACTAAACTTAGAAACATCTTTTTCAAAAGAGGAGTCTTGTCCTGGCCCATGGTTTCCAACAATGACCCCAACTCCAAGTATATCTCTCCCCCTTACCTCAAAGAAGCCAAAACCTCAGCTGCTTTATCTGTAGACCCAGCAACAGCCTCACTCAATGCACATGTTCTATTCTCTTTCTGCAACAGAAATATTTTATCTTTTTTGAGACCCATTTATATCAATTTGGTTTTCTCTTTTTATTATTTTATCAATCATTAGTGTTTTAAAAAAGGGAGTGTCTCAAAAGACCACTTATAAATCCATTTTGATGGCAAGCAGTCCTTGCTAAACTGCTTAAAAGATCAACATTTTAATTCCCAGGCATGAGCATTCATCAGAATCATCTAGAGAACTTTTTAAAAATATTCATTTCTAGGCAAGATAATAATTCTACACTAGAAAAATCTAGGTAATTCTGTCATTGCTCATCCCAAGAATAGTATTTAGGAATCACTGTATTCCCAAATATTTGGAAACACTCTCTAATCGCTTGCCACTCTCAAGCTACAGAAAATGCTCTTTGAAAAAGGTCATCAGCCGGGCATGGTGGCTCATGCCTGTAATCCTACCACTCTGGGAGGCTGGGACAGGGGGATTGCTCAAGGTCAGGAGTTTGAAACTAGCCTGAGCAAGAGTAAGACCCCGTCTCTACTATAAAAATAGAAAAGAAATTAATTGGCCAACTAATATATATAGAAAAAATTAGCCGGGCATGGTGGTGCATGCCTGTAGTCCCAGCTACTCGGGAGGCTGAGGCAGCAGGATTGCTTGAGCCCAGGAGTTTGAGATTGCTGTGAGCTAGGCTGATGCCACGACACTCACTCTAGCCTGGGCAACAAAGTGAGACTCTGTCTCCAAAAAAAAAAAAAAGAAAAAGTCATCAATTACCACAGAGCTGCCAATTCCAAAGGCCCCTTTGTCAATCTTCATCTTAACACATCACACTATAGCATTTGACTCCTTGTTCTTGAAAACTGCCCTCACATAAGTTACAACGTTTTTCTTGTAATCTTCCTGCTAGGCTTACTGTTTTTTTGATTCACGCTTACAGCTCCTTTTCCATTACCTCATTTTAAAAGTAAAAACTCTCCAAGGTTCTGGTCTCAACCTAGTGTTCTGGATGATTTTATCCAGTCCTCTATCTATAATTCATTCCTTAACCTATCATCTACATCATCACCTATCATCTGCTTTTGTACTACAATGGCAGAACTAAGCAGTTGTGACAGAGATCATATGATCCACAAAGCCAAAAAGTTTTACTATATGGTCCTTTACAGAAAAAAATTGCTAGCTGGGCACAGTGGCACACACCTATAGTCCCAGCTACTCAGGAGGCTAAGAAGATTGCTTGAGCCTGGGGATTTGAGTCCAGCCTAGGCAGAAGGAAGAAAGGGAGGAAGGAAGGGAGGGAGGGAGGGAAACAACCAAGTTTGCTGACCTCTGTTCTAGGGTAGCTGCTAAAATATTTCTTTAAAGTATAACTTTCCAACTAGTACAGTGAAAAAAAATGGAATGATAAAAATAATCACTTCAAAAGAAAGGAGAATTCTTGGGGGAAAAGTCAACAGATGGAACAAACGGAAAGCAAATAGTAAATTTCAAAACTAAATAAAACAGTAATTGTATTAAATGTAAATGCTCTGGTTAAAAGATAAAGATTGCTAGACCAAGTTTTTAAAATTCAACTACATGCTGTTTTCAGACACATATCTATAACCTGAGGATACAGAATCTCGAAGTTTAAAAAAGGAGAAGCTATACCATGTGAATACTAGCCAAAAGAAAGTTGGTAGAACCAAAATAACCTCAAGCAAAACAGGAAAATAAAGTAGAATTAAATATCTCTTAAGTTCCATTTAGCCCTTCCATACTATTATTTTAGGTCTAAACCTGGAAACAGAGGAAGACTAGAAGTTATGGAGGAAGTGATAAAGTGGCAAGTAAGTAGACTATCAGGTGTTGATCAAATCTGCTATAAAGAAAAGAAAGAGAAATTGTGTCAGTGAAATGTTTATTAGATAGGGGGCTTGTGAACGTAAATGTATAATTATAAATAGGATCAAGTAGAGAAATATAAACTAAAAACTGAAGAAAAAGGTCTAACTGGTAAGGCAAAGTTCCTTGGTAAGCAAAACTAAATGAGTTAGCTCAAAAGTAGATAGATGGCTGGGCATAGTCACTCACGCCTGTAATCCTAGCACTCTGGGTAGCCAAGGTGGGAGGATCACTTGAGGTCAGGAGTTTGAGACCAGCCTGAGCAAGAGCAAGACCTCGTCTCATTTAAAAAAAAAAAAAAAAAAGTAGACAGATGCCTCTCAGAAAGAAAGAAAGAAAGAAAAAAAAAGACACTATTTATTTTACTGAAAGAATTAAAGAAAAAAAATGTGAGTAACGAAACAGATTACAGATTTTGAGGTAAGATGTGACAAGAGCACATGTAAGCTGATCTTCATCACTAGATAGTACATAGGAGCCCAAGTTTTACCTATAGATCAATTGCCAAGTAAAAGCCAAATAGGGTGCTGAAAGAAAAGAGTATTAGTATAGTATTTCAACTGAAGAAAAGGTGATGGGTGAAATGAATTATCAGATAGGTATATTGGTTTAGCTAGCCAGAAAGTAATCTGTACCTTCTTCTGGTGAATGTACTGTGTTTTCTTTTGAAAGACTTTCTTTTTCCTTGTCATCTGACATACTTTGAGTGAGCTGACCTCGCTCTCCAAATGAGGGGGAAGGGGGATATTAGTGGCTGATCACTGAAATTCTACACTGGAACTTTTGCTGCCACCATTGGGAAGGAAGCATAATTTTTTTCACGAGAGCTGCTAAGCTAGAAAAATGTAAACCTAGAGCTGCTGGCAGCCATCTTCCCTGAATGCACAGAAGCCCCCTCTCTGCAATAAAAGAAAATGTAACTAACACACACAGCAAAGCCTTATCAACATATTTGGGACACTGTATCCAGCTGTGCCTCAAATAAGCTAGACCACTGAACTTCTTTCCTTATGCCAATAAATTCTCTTTTATTCCCTGAGCCACTTTGAGTTGGGTTTCTGTTCCCTCTAATGAAAAGAACCCACTATAACAGGTAGCAATCCATTGCAATACCCCTTAAGAATATAAGTATCCCTCGTTATCCACATTCCTGATTTCCAAAAATCTCACAATCTAAATACAAGAACCAAATACATTTGAGTAAACTTCTGAATATTTCCTTCATTATCTTTCTATGCTATCCAAACTTGGGGAATCAAATAGATTCAAATAAGGCGATACCCCCTGACATTCAAATTCAATATCCAAACTGAAGAAGTAAACAGATTTCAACAATGAGAAAATCTTGTTATGTTAACCATGCAGAAATATGGAAAGGAATCTATAAGATCAAATTTTAAAATGTAGAAAATTGTATATAAAGGCATACATATATAAAAATGCATTAAAAATTTGGGCTTTGGGGAAATCTTAAGTTTTCCTTTTATAATTTTCACCAAAGTTTGACATACATTACCTCATTTGAGTTCAACAGAGTTCTCTGAGACAGAATAAACTATTACCTTTCAAATCAGAAAATTAAGGCCTAAAGAGCAAAAAATCTATGAGAATTTTCTTTATGATAAAGATGGCATTTCAAGTCAACAGGGAAAAAAGAGATTACTCAAAAAATGACATGGGGATTACTGACTGCAAAAATAAAACAAGCATGTAAAGAATTAAGTGCATTACTGGCAATTCTATAAGTAAAATTATTTAATATTCTTTTTATTCCCTATCACAATGTAGTTACTTCAAAATATATGCTACCAGAGAGAAACAATGTAGTGAGACAGTTGCTGTGGTCAGTAGGGTGTGGTTCAGAATAGACCAGTTTATGATGTTACTCACTGGACCAAGTTAGAAGGCACTAATTATAGAGGAAAACTGTGGTGAAGAAAAAAACAGGGAATACAGAGTTTCCTTTAAATTAGAAGTTCAGTTAAAAAGATAAAAAAGAAGTGACTAAAGATTTTTAATGCAGTGCTCTGTACAATGTTTTGCAGTATGTTAATAAAATTTAATTTCCAAAAAATATATATTAATGTTGTTTTTGCTTTTTTACCAAGTTCTTAAGGTTGTTTTCCAAGGTAAAAAAAAAAAAAAAAAAAGTATCTCTTGATACTTGCTTTATCACAGGGATCTACTGATGAAAGTTATGAGTAGAACCATACATTGTCATTCAGTAGCAAGAGAAGCAGAAGAACTGAATCAAGCAAATGTATTTTTAAAAAATTAAGAATCTCCCATCCAAGTACTAACCAGGCCGGGCACAGTGGCTCACGCCTGTAATCCTAGCACTCTAGGAGGCCTAGGCAGCAGGATTGCTCAAGGTCAGGAGTTCGAGACCAGCCTGAGCAAAAGCAAGACCCAATCTCTACTAAAGACAGAAAGAAATTAGCCAGGCAACTAAAAAAAGAAGAAAAAAAATTAGCCAGGCATGGCGGTACATGGCTATAGTCCCAGCTACTCAGGAGACTAAGGAAGGAGGATCCTTTGAGCCCTGGGAGCTAGAATGACGCCACAGCACTCTAGCCCAGGCAACAGAGAAATTCTGTATCTCAAAAAAAAAAATGTGAAAATTAAAAATCTGGCCAGGCGCAGTGGCTCACGCCTGTAATCCTAGCACTCTGGGGAGCCGAGGCAAGTGGAATGCTTGAGGTCAGGAGTTCAAAACCAGCCTGAGCAAGAGCGAGACCCTGTCTCTACTATAAATAGAAAAGAAATTAATTGGCCAACTAATACATATAGAAAAAAATTTAGCCGTGCATGGTGGCGCATGCCTGTAGTCCCAGCTACTCGGGAGGCTGAGGCAGCAGGATTGCTTGAGCCCAGGAGTTTGCAGTTGTGAGCTAGGCTGATGCCACGGCACTCACTCTAGCCTGGGCAACAAAGCAAGACTCTGTCTCAAAAAACAAAAAAAAAAAATTAAAAATCTAACTTTCCCATTGAAAAAAATGACTCAAAGCAAAGGCCTCATAGTACCTACAGAAAGGAGAACACTGTACTAACAAGGCAAGCTCCATTTGAGAAAACATTTCTGATTTGCCTATAGCTGTAAATATCATGGGGAGAGAGCTATCAACAATTTGAATTTATT